GCTCCCCATTCCAGGCACCTGCTACATTCATTGCAGCCAAGGAATAACCTTTTCCTGGAACTCCTCGGAGTCTAGCCCTTTCCTTCTTCCACTTTCTGCTTCCATCAACACTTAACTTTTCATTTCATTCTTGTAGTTACCTATTCTGATCATTTAACTCATGCTTATTGTTAATGACAAATAAGACCTAATGTGTCTTCCTCTCAGCTAACATTTGAATAATGAAGGAATTTCATTACTTTAACAAAATTGAGGACATAATGAATGATTCTGATACTTTGTAGTAAGCTTTGGAGTGGATGGGGATATTTTCTGAGTAGTTGATCTTTTTGCCCCTAAAATCATATGAGCTGAATCTATTAGTTATTAAAGTTGAATAAGTTAAATGAGCTGGATGACAAGAGTTGCCTGAGGTGAAGACACAGATTACTTGATCCCAAATGTCAATAGTCTTGAGCCTAGAGTCATGTAGTATTGTTATCACATATCATCTTATATTATACAAAGATGAGAAGACCTATGAAATTATACAGAAGATTCAAGTAGCAGTTTCTTTTCTTATGATAGGAATGAGAGCTAGGAGAATATTCTTTGTCTTGCTCTGTGGTGTGTGAGAATTAAAAGGTCATTCTTTTCATGTAAACTCTATGTCAGGGAGCATTATTAATTCAGTGCAGCTAGTGGCTCCTGTATAATACTAGTGGTATTATTGATGGTAGGAAAACCACAAAAAACCCACATTTATAGTATAAGGCTTTCCTTGTAACTTTCCTATATAATATTCACTAAAACTAGTGCAAACTGTGAGATTATTTAACACAATCTAGAATCCAAAATAAAAATCTTTTCTTAGCATTTAGGAAGAAAATCTGTTTATGACAACATGGCCTTCAGCTGTGATAAAAAAAAAACAAAACAGCTTCTATATAGTCAGTGAACACAAGATGGCACCACTGAACAATTAGTTTATCTCAAGATGACTTCTAGGCTCTTAGATCAATGCCCAAAAGTAGTGTTACCCCTCTTCAAAACCAGCATCAATCATTTCTATTGAATAGAGTATGAAAGGGAAAAATAGTAGCTTTACAGTGAAGAAACCTGGCAGATATCACTTCAACCAAGTGATCAAGGTTAACATCACAAATGATCAGTAATGGTCATACCATGTGCCCCTGCCATCATGTGATGACAAGGGCACTTCATCTCTGTGGTGTTCTTCCACAAATCCATAACCTCAGTCTAATCATGAGAAACTGTGGGACAAACCCAAAATGAAGGACATTCTGCAAAATACTTGACCAGTACTCTTGAAGAGTGTTAAGGTCATGAAAACCAGGGAAAGGGCTGTTAGAGATTAGGAAAGCCTAGAGAGACATGACAGCTAAATGAAATATGGAGTCCCAATTTGGGTCCCACAAAAATAATATTAGTGGAAAAACTGGGGAAATTCCATAAAGACTATAATGTGGTTAAAAACATTGTACCAATATTAATTTCTTCGTTTTGACAATTGTAACATGGTCATGTAGATGCTAACATCAGAAGAAGCTGGATGAAAGATACACAGGAACATTGTGTACTGCCTTTGAAACTATTCTCTAAGTCTAAAATTATTATTTCAAAATAAAATTTTAAAAAGTCAAGATACAAAGGGAACTCTCTGAAATACTAGGTTAAATGGCAGCAATTTCCCATTTATCTTTTATCTGGTTATAGCAGACTTCTATACCAAAAGCCTGCATAATGGTTAGTCATATTAACCCAGTACATGGTTCCAAGATCTGGGGTTTAATTCCTCTAGAGACACAGTGAGCATGTTTTCCAAAACCAACATTACAATATGTTGTCTGACAACATCGTCTTCTGCAATTTTCAAATGAGAAAATAAATCACAGATCAATGAGGTTAGAAACAATGATTCTTTTCTGTTCTATGGCCATTGGTGGCACCTTTTAAAGACACTCAGTTTTCTTACTAGTATGTGTTGTGAGTATAATGTCTGTGTATTCCAGGCTCTGAAACTTTTATGGCTTACTAATCATTGGTCAAATAAGATAACATATGGCTAATATCTTTGCTACTATTCCAAATATTTATTTGCACAGAATAGCAGTTTGGCCCATCAATAACCTCTTAAAATCAAGGAAACAAACATTTTAACTCCCTGTAAAGGGTGGATGAAAACCAGTTTCCAACATGCTGTATTTGTGCACACAGAAGTGATAAAATTTTGGTTAGAAAGTGTTTATGTGAGTAATAAGGAAACAACAATTTCTAAGTCATGATAAGGGCTAAATAAAAATATTAATACATATTAACTTCCAGAGATGTAAATGAATGTGGGAGTCTCCAACATATTCACATATCCACATGCAGAAGAATGAAAATGGACCCCTCTCTTACCTCACTTACAAAATTTGACTCAAAATGATTTAAAGAATTAGAAAACCTAAAATTGTAAAATTACTTGAAGAGAACATAGGGGAAAAACCTAGGTCTTGTCAATGACTTTTTGGATGTGACAACAAAGCAAAACAAAAAAAAGCAAAAAATAATTAGTGGAACTACGTCATACTACAAAGCTTCTGCACAGCAAAAGAAACCATTAACAAAATGAAAAGGCAACCTATGGAATGGGGGAAAATATTTCATGCCATCTATCTAATAAGAGGTCAATATCCAAAGTATTAACTACTTTTCTCTGATCAGTCAATAGCTACAACTTTTTTCTTTCTTTATAAATTCTAGTCTTTGGCAGCTGTCATGCTCCACCCAAAATTGTTCACCTTGTTCTAGACATTTCCTTGTACCTTGATCCGTAGTTTTTGAACCCTGTCCCAAGTCCAGCCCATTCCCTTGCTTACTTTCTATCCTTCTTTCCTTAGGTACTAGTTTCCTAGAGCTGCTGTAACAAATTACCACAACCTAGATGGCTTAAGAGAAAAGAAATTATTTCTTCACAGTTCTGGAGGCTAGAATTCCAAAATCAAAGTGTCTGCAGGGATTTTTCTCCCTCTGCAGGTTCGAGGAAGGAAGCCTTTCTTACCTCTTTAACTTTGAGTGATTGCTGGCAATCCTTGTGTTCCTTGATTTGTAGACACATCAGTCCATTGTCTGCCTCTGTCATCACATGGCATTCTCCCTGTGTATCTGTGTCCAAATTTCCCTCTTCATTTAAGGACACTAGTCATTGATTTTGGGGTGCACTGTACTCTAATATGACCTCATCCTAACTTGATTACATCTCTAAAGACCCTTTTTCCATAAAAGGTCACCTGCACAGGTACCAGTGGTGAGAATTTCAACATATCTTTTTGGAGGACACAAATCAACACAAAATGCATCTGTATTTCCTGGAAACTCTTTTGATCCATTTTTGACACATGGCCCCATTTACACAGAAGCTTGTGCAATAGGATTGAACTAATCTTAATTGTATGACATTAAAACCTATCAGTCTTATCAGTCGGGAAAAATGCAGAAGTGTGGGCACTCACATACAGCACATAACATTAGTGAGAATGGTAGAGTGGGATTCTTTTCCTCTTAAGATTCTTTGATCAGTTGACTCTATTTTGATAAGAAAACTTGAAGGAATTATCTAAAATTAGTACTCATATACTTCAAAGTTTTTGCTTTATAAAGGAAATGTAACAACAGACAATACATTTAAGGGTCACATTCCTGAAATCAAGGAATCTTGGTCTTTTGCACCTTTACTCACTTGACAGGTTAACCGAGAGATTAACAATATTATCCAGACATAGCACCCTTCATTTGATCATTCTGCAAGTAAAAAAAAAAATTGCTGTTTTTCACATAAAAACTGAGACTAACAACAGTACTTTGGTTTGAACACCCTTTGAAGGCTGTAGGGAAGAATCATTCCTTCCCTCTTCCTAGCTTGTAGTGGTTGCCAGCAATCCTTGGCATTCCTTGGCTTGTAGGTGCATCACTAATTTCTTCCTGTCTTCACTTGGCCATCTTCCCTTGTGTGCATGTCTGTGTCTCTGTGTCCAAATCTCCCTCCCCTTTCTCTTAGAAAGACACCAGTAATTGGCTACTATAATCCAGTATGACCTCATTTAAATTGATTACATCTACAAAGATCCTATTTTCAAAGTAAGAAACATTCTGAGGTTTTGGATGAACATAATTTTTGGGGAGATATTGTCTAATCCAGTACATCCCAAGAACCAAATCTGATAGAGAATTATCAGATAAGACATTGTGTTTTAAGTTGAAGCCTTACTCGTATCAATACTAAACTGAATTTTTTTTCTATGACTACAGCTTGAAATATCTTAAAATAACTCTGATTCCAAGACTCTATATTTGCTTTGGAAAATTATAAATCTGTAACTTGTGCTCGCATTTAGAACTTATTCTTAGGACTCATAATGTTTTCAGTAACAAAGAATCTTTCAGAACTTCTTCCTTTCATAAACATTGGTTCATATGATTAAAGGCATACTAAATAGGTTAGAAGCCATTGAATTATGTATCATTCTTATCTGTTATCTTTTAGAAAAACTTGTTTAGTGTATACAGAGGAGTCCAGTGAAAAGATACATCTACATAGCAAAGCATAAATCAGTTGAAAATGGTCTGTAAAACATCTCTTTTTTCCCCATTTCCAATCTGAAATTTTTACTTTTAATTCGGATACTTTGATGCCATGTAAACCTAGAATAAGATACTAAGAAAGCAGTGCTTTCAAATGGTCAATTATATCCACTATTTAATATAAACATTAAAAACAAAACTACTCCATAAACTTGCTTGATTTTTCAGGTGAAATGGTTGCAGGTTCTTTAAAATATTCATAATTTAATATTCTGTTCTCTATGTAATACCTTATATTTCACATATATATTTTATATTTCATAATAGGCTACAATATTTGACCTCATTTAATTTAAATTGCATTGACTTTGCTTACTTCTTGATAGCTGAATTATATAGTCAGCATTTGATGTTTGTTCTATACTGTGTTTCAGGGACTTCATGAAAAGACTGGTGCATTTACAGCTGTAAAGGTGATGAATGCCCGTAAGGTAATAATACACCTTGCCTGTATTCTGTTCCCTTAATGGACTATGGTCTTGAGATAAGCAGCTCATAAAATATTGTATTTGTTTTTTAAATTGCTATCATATATAATTATAATTATGTTAACCTGAATTTATTATATTTATCATTTAATATTTCTATCCATTATTATTTTTATCTTTTATTATTGATTTATTATATTTACAGATAAAAATGTTTCACTCAGCTAAAGTTCCACATATTTTGGCATTCTATAAGAATGAAGAAAATATCTGTATTCCTCTCTAATTCTAGTTGATTATCTGCTCCAGGGATAGCAAAGAAATTTCCTTTAATATTATGTTAATGCTCTATGTTCCATCATATTCTTTTCCCTCTCCAACCAGTTCTCCTGAAAATCGAGAGCATTATATCCTCAATGACAGGTAGAAGGAAAGAACTTGTCAGAGTTGCACATTTTTCATGTATTTCTGACAGATGAGCAAGAGAGACAGTTTAATTGGCACTGTTCCTGCTCACATTTGTAAAGCTGTGCCACAGTTCATAATATATTGTCATAGAATTTGCTAAGCACTGATTTGTCTTCTTTCTTTAGCATGAATGCCTCACTTTCTCACGATAATATTAGCATGAACATGGCAAAGGTTAAACATGTTCACTTCACTGTACCCTAAAGTAAAATCTTCAAATACTGTGTTTGAGAAGCTATACATATTCTCTGAACTGTTGTCAATACCATAAACTGTTCTTTTCTAATTTGTGTAGGGAGTAAATTGCTGAAACTATTGAGAGTTGCATGCTTTTTGTTTTGCCAGTAAATGTCAAATGTTGCAAACCAGTGTGAGTTTCAAGGGATTTTGAGGTTTTGTGGATTTATTTTGCCTTACAATCATAGCTTCCAAATAATCAGCCTAGTACTTTTTGGGTGAGACTCTCTAAAATACTTATTTCCTTGTTTTAACTTGAGAGACCTTGATCCATATTTAGTCGGCATTTTAAAAACTGCAACTTTTGAAATATTTGAAAATCATGTTCAGGCCGTAGATAGTGCCAATTACCTTGTTTTGTAAGGGGAAATAGCACTTTACTAACATCAAACTGTAACTTTCCCATTAATATGGCAGTTCAATCTGTTACTGTGAATTTTGTGCCAAGTGTCTAGATATAAGAATTTGATTTTTAAATTAAAATTTTAATGAAAATTGAAAGAGGAATATTATGTTACTCCTCCATTTAGTACTAAAACAGCACAAAGTCCTTAAGAATAAATAATTTTTAAAGTATACCAGTGGGTCTAATAATATTTTGTTCTTGGTTTTGTAGACCCCTTTACCTGAAATAGGAAGACGAGTGAGAGTGAATAAATATCAAAAGTCTGTCGGGTGGAGATACAGCGTGAGTATGAAAAGGCCTCATTAGCCTCCAAGTCATCTTTCCTTTAATTAACTCTAAACTAATCCCTTTGTGTAGTATCGTTATTTTCAGAAAGCTTCCACTGAAATTTTCTTGCCTGGAAATGATAACATATTTATATATTTTAAACATATTCACATAGATTCAATCATCATATTTGAACACTAGCATTTGTCAGAAAACAGGGCCTAGAAGAAATGGTGCCTCGAGCAGGTAAGTGGTGACTGCAGTTGATAGACTGAGTAAATCAACAGAGCATCAGCCCTCTAGATGAGTAGCAACAAAAGAAATGATGGGATCAGGAGTAAATTTTGCCTAAAACTGGCCTTGGCAAGATCCTTTTCTTACCTGTTACATGGTATTCCAAACTGACTGGCTTTTCTGTCATTACGAATCTAAGAAACATTGCCATTGTATATGAGTCAAATGAGGACTACATTTTTTTATTGTAAGAACCATAGCAGGCAGAAAACCAATAGGATACCCAGCCTACAAGTCTTCAGACATCTGGCACAGTACTCTAATACATGAAAGGAGTGTGAAGATACTTTCTACTTAAAGCTTTTCAATTCCTTACAAAGCAGTCTCTATGACTCCAATAATTTACTGGCTCTAGAATAAGATCAGGTAAAGAAAATTCTTTTTCAGTAGATGGTGATCTCAATGTTGCTTATCTATCAGAGTATCCTGTGGGCCTGAAAGCAGAATTCCTGCTCTTATCAATGTAATTCACTGGTATCTTTTTTCCTAACTTCTCTGCTCTGCAGTCAACTATCCAGTATTCAAATATTTTCAAACTTTTGTGTATTAATAAATATGCTCTCAGACACATTAAAAATAACCACTTTCCATTAACACAGTCACATTCAGCAAAACTTTCTAGTTATATTATAAAGGTATTGGGAAACAGCTTCATGATTCATCTAGTAAGTACCAGCCTCCTATTTTATTACAATGTACCTCAGGAGACAAAGCATATCGAAATGAAACAGGCTGTACTGATTAATAACATGCTTTGCTAGATCAAGAAGCTGCAAAAGGTAAGGTATGAAATATATAATTCTTTGACCAATTCTGGTTTCATCAAACATTTGGTTTAATAAAACCCCTTTAAAGATCTTCCCCAAATCCTCTCTGGTGTTCTTTCAATAAGGACAAAGATTTTTATTCTAAAATTGGGTGAAATTACAAAGGAAGTTTTGGCATCCTTGAGCTGCCTCTTCCTTTTTAGATTATTTTTTTAAATTGAAACATAGCTTATATGCAATATTATATTGGTTTCAGCTGAACTACTTAGCAATTCATCAGTTATATACATTCCTAAATGTTCACCATAAGTGTAGCTACCATGTTTCACCAAAGATATTATGATATTATGTGCTATATTCCTTATGCTGTACTTCCATCCCTGTGACTAAATTATTTTATAATTTGAAGTTTGTACCCCTTTATCCCCTTCACGTATTTCATCCATTCCCCCTGCTCCCTTCTTGACAAAGATTAGGATATTCAGGCCACTCTGGGATAAACTGGCCCTCAGCCAGGAAATGCTATAGCATCATATTATGGGGGATATGTGTGGGAGTTTTAAATTACCCACTTGGCCAAGTGGATGTAATGTCCTTATGTGTTTCTCACAAGCTCAACTTCCTGTTAATTGAGAATGGCAAACACACTAATGCTTTCCAAACATATCTGATCTTGGTTTATTGGCTTTGGGGGAGTTTACATTTATGTGGGAAACACTCTTAAAAGTTTTTCTAGTTGGGAACTTTAAATTCCCTCATGATATGTTTTAGTAAGAAAAATAACTGCTAGCTGGTCAACCAGTTAGCATCTCTAAATCATCTTTAATCTTTTTGGATAAGAAGTTTGTGATTTGCAAACACATCTGTTTGAGTCAGGGGTTAATGGAATTAGTGATAATGTACAAGTCCAGAAACATAATCCCACTTCTATCACTAAATAGCCAAGAAGTACTTGGAAAAGTGGTCTTGCTGCTCTAGGCTTCAGGTTCCTCAAAGATAAAATGGCACTAGAATATTTGGCCTACCTATAAACAGGGTTAAAAGTATGGCCAAATGCAACTACGTAACTGCAAGAGTCAAGTCATTCTATTCTTGCTTGGAGACATTAGCTTTGTAACCCAGAAAGAAAAGGAAGCTCCTTGATATCAAACTACCAAATAAGTTAAAGGACTCAGTCTGGCCCCTGCTTCTCTTTAACTTGTTTTTTGTGTTCTTATCCTCACACCATTATCTCATTCGTATTTATTGCACTCTTCACAAGTTCATCTCAGGACAACCTTGGTGTTTTACTAGAAACTGAGAATACCCACTTAGATACAGAATTGCTAGTTACTGAGGTTTATTTCTATATGATGGCAAATATCGTCACCATCGAAGCAGAGCCATATCACAGAGGAAGCAGAGAGTATAACAGTCCTACATGGCAAGAATGAAAGCCACAAGAATTAATTTTTAGCTTTGTAGAAAACGGGATAAAGGAACTCAAAGGGAACTTATTAATTGAGCTTCCTTGGGAGGCTGGAATGAGACTAGAACCTGAACTTCCACATAATCCACATGCTACAAGTTGACTGTTTTATTTGTTCATGCCTTTTTGGTGCAAAAAAATACAAAAAGAGAACTCTTTATTGGGTTTCCAACTGGAGAAATCAGACTCCTTCCCTTTCTCCCAAAGACAAATAGGTGTCTAGATTTATTTTCTAGTAGTTGAATGTTTATGGGTAAATCTGCAGGAAAATCCCAGGGAAATGTTAAAGAATGTTCTGCAGTGGCCAACCACATCTCCAAGATTTGAAACTTATTTTACAAGATATATTATGAATACCTGGGGATACTACAGGAACTAGTATATTGCCTTATATGTATGTCATAACTATTCTTAAAGCCCAGCAGCAATATAGCTAAATATAAAAAGTAATTTCCCATCTTTCTTAGAGAGTAAGTTGAGTCTTAGAGAATAAACTAAGAAGGAAAATGGTAACTGACTAGATACATTCAGTTACCTATTCATTTCAGCTAAATGACGTATTTTCCTCTACACCAATTCATCAAGTCAAGATAATTGAAGGAAATGCTGGGGGGAACTAAGGATGGGTGCTAACCCCTTTGTTGCTTTTCATGTCAGTTGGCCCTTTTCTAATTCATTGCCCCCCAAAAGTCAAAGATAACATTTTTCACAGAATTTCAGAACAGGAACTTAACTGTATCTTTAATTAAAAAGCCTTATTTCCTTTACATACTACAAATATATATTCACTTTGTACAGTAAGAGTCTTCCTGGAAAGGTTGTATAAATTGAACTTTTATAAATGCAATATGAGAGCTTTTTAAAATTACATTTGAATTTAAAGCTAGTGGGAATTCAGAGGACCTTGGTAGTGAATCCATCTGTCAAGCACCGGATCACTTCCTACGTCATTTCACATCACCCTCAACTTCATTAGGCACTACCTTGTGTTCATCAATGGTTATATCATTCATATATGTGAATCTTATTTCCCTGCATATAGGTCTCTTTAAGTTACGACTCCTAAATGCCAAACCAATGATATGGTCATTGGAAATCCCAGACGATATAAGTTACCTTTTTGTAGGTTAATATTTTAAGGTATTTTTCTTTAGTGTATTGCACCTGTATACACAGTGTGATGATTTTCAAATTATTAAGAAGTGAAAAGCTTTTATGGGGAAAGGAACTTGATAATATAGGTGAATGTTGAAACCACAATGTTGTTCATGTGAAACCTTCATAAGATTGTATATCAATGATGCTTTAATTTAAAAAAAAAGAAGTGAAGAGTTTTCTTTAGATTGACTAAGAAGAGTTACAGAAGGATTATGAAAACTACTTGGTTGTCATGGCACAAGCAGACATAGCTGAATCTTAGGGAGAAAGAACGACTCCCCATTTCACTCCAGTATAACAAATGTGCTGGAAATGAATATTGCTGATGTTTACGGATTAGGGTAAAAAGTGGAGAGAGGTGTATAATTCTGATAACACTGTAATTCAAATGAGAAAAGGTCAAGTAATAAAGATACTGATGCCAGAGTTCTTGTTCACGAAGCCGAAGAATGAGCTTCACGAACAGTCAGAGTAGGAGAGCAAGGTACAGGCTTTTATTTAGAAATAAAGTGAGAGAATAGAGCTCCTGGCTCATGCCAGGAGGGGACAAGAGAGCCAGTAGTGGTGTGTTGTCTAGGGGGTTTTATAGGCAGTTGAGGATTTTTCAAGAACATGTAAAAAACTTAGGGGTATGGACTTGCATCACCTGCCCTGTCCTCAAGGTGGGCTGGGTCGTAGTCTGATTGCTAGGGCTGACAGCAGAGTCACCAGTTATGCTGATACCCTTGCAGAACACTCAAACATTCCAGGCCAAGTTGCTCCTGGCCTTTTGACCTTTAACTGATCTCACTGAAGATGTCTATATTCTTAGGTATCTTTCCCTAGAGAATTAGTGTGACCTTGACTTTGCATAATGCTTAACAGAGTTTCAATGGGGACTTCTTTGCCCATTGTTACATTGCTCTGACTGTAAATATTCCACCCTGCTTTTCCCTGAGGTCCTCACCCTACTCTGACTACACCCACCATCCTTGTCTCAATACTGTATGCTAATACTTTGCATTTATAGCATTCTTCTTCCAAGGATTTCAAAGAACTTTAAGTATAATATCCTATTTGGTTCCAGTAATGTTCCATTGAGACTGGTAATAGCTGCCATCTTCTATTAAATTTCTGAGGATAAACTGAACCTTGGGGAGATTAAGTGAATTTTTAACCCTGGCCATCAGTGCCAGAAACAAAGTGTCCTAATAACCAGTGTAGATGCTCTTTTCTGATGACATCATCCTGTCTTCTCCTGGAAATAGCTCTTGAAATAATGTACTCAATCTTGGTGATCCTATCCAAAATGATGGCTTCAGTTTTCACTATATAGATAACCCTCAAAACCAATACTTATATTCCTGACTTGTCCTCTGAGTGGCAGACCTGTATTTCCATTCTATGAAATTCTATGAATCCATAAAAAGGAAATGCATTTATATTTATTAATATAGAAATATGTTTTTTATGATTGAATGAGACAGGCAAGTTGCAGAAGAGTGAGAAAATGGGCTTGTTTAGATTAAAAAATAAATGTTATGAGAGAGAGAGAGAGAGAGGAGAGAGGAGAGAGGAATATATACTCAGCTGTTACCATTGCTAGGAGGAAATGTTCAGTGAGAGTAGACCACTTACCTATTTTACTTTTATATATGCATTTTATACATATGTACCACTGTAGTGTTTAGGAAAATAAACTACTTTATGCATGTCTTTTAAAAAAATCAGCACAGATGAAATCAGTACCTTTAAAATGCAATTAATCACAGATTAATCAGAGTGGTGTCGTAAAGGCATAAGGTTGACATATAGATCCATGGAATAGAATTATTTCCATATAAATATGGTCAGCTGATTTTTGGCAAGGATGCAAAGTCAATTCATGGAGAAAGAATTGTCTTTTCAACAAATAATGCTGAGACAACTGGATATCCACATGTAGAGGGATGAAATTGGACCTCTTCTTTAAATGAAAACTAACTCAAAATGAACCAAAGACCTAAGTGTAAGAGCTGAAACTATAAAATGGTTAAAAAAAGACAGTGGAGTAAATCTTTGTGATGTTGGATTTGGCAATGGATCCTTAGATATGACACCAAAAGTACAGACAGCAAAACAAGAAATCAATAAATTGGACTTCATCAGAATTAAAAATTGTGTTCCTCAAAGGACATTATCAAGGTAGTGAAAAGACAACCTACAATATGGGAGAAAATATTTGAAAATCATAGACTTTATAAAGTACTTGTATCTAGAATATATAAATAAGTCTTACAATTCAATATTAAAAAGACAACCCAATTAAAAAACAGGGGTAAAGATTTTTGATGAGACACTCTTCTGAAGTTCAAATACAAGTGGCCAATTAGCACATGAAAAAATACTTGACATCATTAGTCATCAGGGAATTGCAAATCAAAACCACAGTGAAATAGCACTTTGGATGGTTTATAACAATAAAACAGAAAATAATGTGTTGATCAGGGTCTGGAGAAATTGGAACCAGCATTGCTGTTGGGAATGTAAAATGTGGCAGCCACTGTGGAGAACAGTTTGGCATTTCATTAAAATGTTAAACATAGAGTTATCATTTGACTTAACAATTTCACTCCTTGGTAGATACCAAAGAGAAATGAAAACACTTATTCACATATATGAATGCTCATAGCAGCATTACTCATAACAGCCAAAGGGTGGAAATAACCCAAATGTCTACCAATTAATGAATGGTAAATGAAAAGGAATAAAATACTGGTATGTGCTACAACATGGATAAATCTTGAGAAAGAGCTAGTCACAGAAGTCAACATACTATATGATTTTCATTTATATAAGATGTCCAAGATAGATAAATCTATATATAGAAAAATATATTAGTGGTTACCTAAAGGTGGGATGTGAGTGTGGCAGAATTTGGAGGTGATAGCGAAAGGTATGAGGTTTCTTTTCAGGGTGATAAAAATGTTCTAAAATTGATTTGGTGATAGTTGCATAATTCTGTAAATATACTGAAAACCATTGAATTTCACACTTTAAATGGGTGAATTGTATGGTATATAAATTATATCTCAAAACTATTACAAAGCCAACAAACCAAAAATGTAATGATTCTATTTAGTGAAAATTTATACAGTGGTCATTATTGCTGGTCCAGCGATCACACTTAAAGAACCATTGGATTTAAAGATCTTCAATTAATCTTTATTTTTGCCCAAATTCCCAGTTAACCAGACATTTCCATTCTCTGACAGTCTAGTTGGGATTTGATTATAAGTTGCTGTGAGGTATAGTGTATTGTCATAGGGTTCTCCTTTGATCTACTGTAGTTTAGGGTCTGGTAGTCATTGAATAGGCATTGCTTAGGAGCTTTATGGTCTCTTCTTATTCTGCAGGATGAGGAAGAAGATATCAGGACTGAACTCAACCTTTTGAGGAAGTATTCTTTCCACAAAAACATTGTATCCTTCTATGGTGCATTTTTCAAACTGAGCCCCCCTGGCCAGAGGCACCAACTTTGGGTATGTATTTAATTACCCTGATCTTACTCCATAAGGCTTTCATAAGCTTTCATAACACTTTCATAAGCTGAGATATCATTTTTGTGCTCTACAGGGAAACTTAAGCACTCAGGTGCTCAAAGACATATGACAAAATGTGTTCTAATTCCTGGAGATGGTAGTGATAAAACATGGAAAAATAACTTAAGTGCCTGGCAAGGGGCCTGGCGGTAGAATGTGGGAGGACTCACATGAACACTGGTAATAGCTAATATTTTTCCTTCCAAATACAGTTTTGCTGCTTTTAATGTTATGTAATTACTACATTTGCTGGTAAATTAGAGGTATGGCTAAAGAGACTACTGGATGGACTTCCAGATGATGACTGGATAAGTATCAATTCTAATTTTCATTTGCCCTGAGCATATTGGTGCACTGTAAGTGTTTGCTAAGTATATTCACTTATGTTTAAACATAACTCCTAGAAACTCTTCTCTAAGTGCTAGTTGACTTATCCTTTTCTTATTCTTCATGCCTATAGTATCACAAATTACAGGTCAATGATATATAAATTTTAGAGACTAACTGAAACCCACACAACAGTTACCAGAATTGTTGCTGCCTTCTGCTCTAGGAGAAGCAGTCAAATAACAAGAAAATGAATTTTAGTCAAGGATATCTTTATTTAAAAAGGAATATTTAGAAGATAAATTGGGGTAAATTTGCACTTGCTATATTTCCATTTCCAGTCCAAGTCAAGAATAGTATTTTTTTTTTCAAAATGATGATTGAAAATTCTCAGAATCTTCAAGCATCAAGGAAAGATTCTGTTACATATTATGTAATGGACTTAGGAAGTAGGACAGTGGACATTATAGAAAGATTTTCAACAAGGGATTGAATAAAACTGTGGTTCTCAAACTTTAGCATGTGTTAGAATCTCTTCTGTTTAACCCTATTTTCTCCCAAATGTCTGGTTAACTATAATTCTCTGTTCTCTGATAATTCTAGTTGAGATTTTATTAAATATTCCTGCATAGCTTAATGGCTCCTTTTTTGTTGGTTTATTTTTTGGCATACAACATTTGTGTTTTAATATATTTTTACTTGTAATTTTTTCCCTCTTAACAGTATGGCATTCTCCTTATTAGATGTATTTAGTAATACTCAATTCATTCAGCCATTCAGCATATATTCATTCAAAACCATCTATTTTCCAGGCCTTCTGCTAGATGCTGGGGATACAATGATAAGCTAAGTAGATATGTTCCCTAACACATTAGAGCTTATGGTATATTTGAAATGACTAATATCAATCAAATAAAATAATCACACAAATAAATATATAATTGGTCAGAAGGGAAGTATGCTTCTATGTGGGCAAATAACAAAGGAATCTAAATTAAGTTGGGGAATGAGAAACTTCCTTGAGAAAGTTTTCCCTGAACTGAGATTTGAAGGATGAATAGGCACTGCATGCATAAATTATTTGTGGAGGTAAGAGTTTTCATGAGACCCTTCACACTTTCTTGCCCATTTAAATCAACATAGGAAGAAGTAAATGACTAAATAATTACCATTTAGAAAGTATATGTGCCAGGCACTGGGCTTACAAAGCTGGAAAAATGATTGAGAATGCCTTACATTCTTTTCACAGTAGAACTGTTCTGACTTAGGTAATAAAGATTTTCCAGGGTGCATCTTAATGAAGGCTGTAATTCAAGTTTGTCATAGTTCAACATGAACCCCCTTTCTTCCATTACCACAGTCTACAAGTTATGCCCATTCAATATAGTTATCATGAAAATTAACCTTTTATGGTCTATCTATATTATTGGTTTTATCAGGCTGTTCCTTCTGTTCTTTTACATAAGAATGAACTCAGGTGAAAGATATGCAATAATATCAGTTGTGAACAAATATAAATTAAGGGATTAATTTTCTGAAAATAAAATCTTAGTGTTCCAAAAGGAAATAAAGTAGACTTTTTGAATATTCATGGTTTTGAGTTTATCCTTCTGCTTCCCTTCATATTTAGCAATAATTAACTTGCCTACAGTTTTTTTAAAGACATGTTTTGTTCTATTTATAAGGCAACTTGGACATGGGCACTTAATGCATAAGCCTGTTATATTTAAAGAAAAGGTTTCTAGGTTGATTGTAATAGATACATTCTCCTTCACATTCACCAGTCCTCTAGTTAGCTAATATATGGAAGAAAATTTAGTAGCTGAGCACATGATTCCTTTTCTGGCAAAAATAAATTCTCTGAGAAATTGAGTTTATTAATAAAGTAAAATCCGAATGAGACACTGTCAAAGATAGTAGCCTTAAAATGGACTTTCCTTAGCAATAAAACCACTTGGAAAAAGATTCCCTACAGGAGTGCAATTGACAGTTTCCCCCTTGGAGTTGTAGTTTGCCAGTATCTTGGGAAAAAATAATCTAGAATTTGAAAATAAAAACAAAACAACAATAAAAAAAATCTAGTCTAAATGTTAAAGTGTAACTTCTTTTGAGATCCTCCATATCCTGCTTCTCTACCTACAGTGTTCAACCTGCTGTTCCCTCAACTGTTTCTACCCATCGCTCAGGCTTGTCCACTGTACAAACTTCTTTCTAAAGGCGTGTACTCATTCTGTTTTCAACAAACGGAATGTTCTTCCTTCTCAGCATGTCCAAAGACTACCTATCATTCAAGCCTTAGCTCAAATCCCACCTCCTGGTTAAATATCCCCGGTGTAGTGCCTGCCTTCCCTCCCTCCACAGCTCTTTGGATTTTTCCCAACTCATTTTAATTCCACTAGCCTTTGAAGTCTTCCACCAGACAATTGAGCCAGTCTAAACACTACATATAAATAAAATCCATAAGTAATAAAACTCTCCAGAGATTTTCAAAGAATTACTTTCTAATTCTTGATACTTTGCTGGCTTGCCTGCAGATGGTGATGGAGCTATGTGCAGCAGGCTCAGTCACTGATATAGTGAGAATGACCAGAAATCAGAGTCTGAAAGAAGATTGGATTGCTTACATCTGCCGAGAAATCCTTCAGGTGAATTTTCATATAGTCATTCTCCTCTGGCCTTGAAAAAACCTGGAGTAATACATACAGTGTTCCTTGTACCTGGCCATATAGGATAATTTAAGAACTCTAACCATAATCTCAGGATTGGGATACTGAAAAAGACCAAAAGGCTTTAGAGAAAGCGAATTTTTAGATGATATCCTTAAACTTTAAGGTAGACCACAATATAGGTAATCGGGTCCTTCTAAATCATGGTCTTCAATGGCTCTGTCAAAGGCAAACTATTGTGCTCAGTATTTCATAGGAATAACCACTTGGAGTATTATGTTTTTTTGATTTTTAGATTTTTTTTAAAGCATAGTACTGTCATTGGAGATTAAGGTGAAAGTGAGACAGCACTCAGTGTTTTACAGAATGGCTCCAAACCATTTTGCAGACAGATATCCTCCTTGAATAATATACTAATTTTAAAACTTAATTTCGAACACCAAATTGGATGAGAGAGACTATCTTCTTGATCTACCAATCTTAATTTTTAATTTGTGGCTTAAGTTTTTAGCATCACCCAAGGAGGTTATTCACAGAACTGAACAATGATCACTAACAATGTTAGAATGTCTTTCTTCCCATCTTAATTAGATGAACTTGTGGTAAAAATACAAATAGCTACAGTGCAAACTCTAGACTGAGTTTGAATTCTGGTTCATCATGTATTAGCTGTGTGTCCTTGAGTCAGTTACTTACTCTCTCCAAATCTCACTTTCCTCATCTGTAATATGGGGTGATATTAACACCTTCCTCAAAGGGTTGCTCTAAGGATTTAATACTGTACTTCATGTAAAGTAATTGTAGTGCTTGGCAAAGAATAAGGACTCAATAAATATTAGCTGTTTTTATTATAACTTCTATTATTCATTCCAAGTCAGTATCTGGAACAGTCTCACTGATGCCAGGTCACACATTAGCCAGGTCAAACAGGTTAGTTTTAGTGGTGAATGGGCTGAAGCCAGCACAACAAGCCAGTACAAATTGCAAATGCTTCAAAATGGATGTCTATATTCCCCCAAATTCTCATCCTATAAAGTTGACTAGAAAATATTTTGGACTAAAGAATGGTTGGATGAGGAACAGAGCAAAACAATGGCTGAACTATGGTATTTAAGATTTCCAGGTCTTCACTCTTATGATTAGTTGGAAATACGGAGGCAAGAAAGGAAGGTAAATGGACCAATGTACACAAACATTACTTTTTGATGTTCTTTTTCTTTCATGGGTGTCCTGGTTTATTTTCTTTTCCTTATAGCCAAGAGTAGTATTTCTGGGAGCTGGTTGTAGTAATTCCAGCCTAAAGAAAGAACTTTGTCTGAAAAATGCAAATCTGGGCCATTTTTCTTACCAAAACTTTCCCCAAAATACTAATAACAGTACCTGAAAAAGATAAAAACTATATACTGATGTGGCTTTTTAAAATAAATCCATATGTGTATATACATATGCAGGGTTTAGCTCATCTTCATTCACACCGTGTACTTCATCGGGACATCAAAGGTCAAAATGTGCTACTGACTCATAATGCTGAAGTAAAACTAGGTAAGTTTGTTCTTGCAATACTTGAAGTGAGGTCCAAAATTTCTTAATGGAGAAAAATCTTTTAAGATGACTGTGTTTTCTATCATATCACTAACAATATCTTCTACTTATTTAAGCTGTGTCTTCCCTGCCTGCACCAGTCAAAATTTGATTTTATTTGGAAAGGGAGGTAGTACAAGAGAAAGGTGTACCTAACTACTCTGAAATGATGTAGGTAAAAACAACTCAAATTTTATGGTCATTTTGTTCATTGCTTTACCCTCTCTTAGATATGGCTATCATTTATTTCAACAATTGAATCGAGTGTTTACCATGTGCAAGTTTCTGTGCCATTGACAGGGATTAAACAAAAAGACAATTCTTCCATATCACAGAACCACATTTTCTAAAGAATATCAAAGAATTTTTAAGTTACTTAAGCACAAGTTGCTTCTTTGAAAATTTCCCTTAAATATCTAAAGAACTGACATTCCAGTATTATCTAAATCACATTCAGAATTAGAAATCAAATGACCAGAAAGTCCCTGGTTTTCTATTCCAGGGTTTAGAATGGCATAATTTATTTTAAAATAACCACACATATTATTTCAGACACACAGGGAACAATATATTGCATTCTTTAATGTTTAAAATAAATGTTGTTGGTTGATTTTTAAATAAAATCATATGAATAATGCCAGTGCTATTTAATGGCAGATAACATCATTGATACAGAATATAAATCACTGGTATCAAATCCTGTATCATTTTTTAATTATGCCAATTTCTGCCTACCATGTCTCTAGAATGACCTTAAGATAGTTTCCATTTTCCTGCTAAACAAATACAGAGTAAATATTTTGTTCATTCATTGAGAATGCTTTGTGGAAGAAGCAAGAGGTAATAACTGTTCTTGAAATAAATGAAAAGTAATTTCAAGAAAATGTATTATGTCTTTTGTGTTTAAAAGCTACAAAGCTAGAAACACGAGTTTAAAACACTGTGTTAAAATACTTGATGGGAATTTGAGCTCACATTCAAATGAGCAAGGTAGATAGTTTGTCACAGTGCCTCACACTATATTCACATGTGGCATCATTCTCATTTGGGTCCAGTTGCTGGCCAACCCTACTATTTGCAACACAGAAGAAAAATTGCAATTAAGCGAATAGCCACTGAAAAATCTGTCGCAAAGCCCATGCACTAAAGCTTATATAATTTCTAAGAGAGAACTCTTAGCATTGGATTAGAATTTAATCAGGCGTATTTTCCATATAACCCTTATATGTTTGGTTTTAGGTTTCTCAGATCCCAACATATTTTTTAAGCTATGTATTATAAGGGGGAAAGTTGCAGAAGGCAAACCCAATGACTGCCAAAGGGAATGACAGAGAAGAAGAAAGAAACAGGAAAATGATTGTATTTCAATAGCAATTGATCAATCATCCTCATATTCTGGTCCTTAGATCATTAAAAAAAAAGGTTAAATTATGCCATTTCTGAGGTCTCATCTCTATTTTTATCCTAATTTCAGCTTTTCTTTTTCTCATTTTCTTCTGTCTTCATCGTGCTTTCTTCTAGTCTTTTTTCTTCCTTGAGTCACTCTTATGACCTTCATAGGTATTTCTTGGCCTTTAGAGTTGTCCCTCAGGGATAGTGAAAATGCTGAGCTCTGATTTAACCTATTCTCCAAAAAAAAAAAAAAAATCTAGATAATATGATTGCGCAATGCCCAATGATGATTTTCATATTTTAGGGATATTATTTTGTTCTTGTTAGATCTTTCCATAAAGACTGCCTTAAACTCTTCCCTTTTAATTTTTCTTTTCTTCTCCTAAATTCTTCAAAATACTTCTCAGTCAGTGTTGTTCTCCATCCACTAGATTCCTGGAAGCCATTTTAAATTAGAAAGTCTACTTCATTTTTCATCTCTGGAAAATTTTATCTATTTTCATTTTTCATCTTATTTTTTCTGAACTAAATAACCCCAGTCTATTTTAGCTTTTTTCTGTCTGTTCCTGATGATACCATGCTAAATATTTTCATATAATATATCCCACAGATGAATAAAAGACTGAACTTTTATAGTCCAAGCTAAGATATGGATACCACAGTAAATATTTGCATATGATTCAGAAGATCTGGAGAACTTAAACTAAATTCTAACAGAAAGCTCAGTTTTTATTTATCAATATAATAGGACTTTCTAATGTTAAGAGTAAGGTTTCCTAATAGACCACTAATAGACTTTAGATTTCTTAGATGCTGCTTATAGTGCCAGTCTCCCTTCAGCTGGGTGGCAAGTCCAAACACTACATATGGTATCGTTTCAGAGGTTCAGGGTGTACTGATACAGCTTTACTTTAATATTCATTGTAGACTTTCAGCCAAACCTACTGTAGATTTATAATAATACTGCTCAGTCTCTTTCCAACATAAATAGCAGCAAATGCCTACTTCCTAGTGTTTCTGGAGTAGACCTCATGGTAAAGTTTGCTGGGCTAGAATGAAAATGTGTTATCCATTGTGGTTTTTGTCTTGACTTTCTCAGTTAAAGCTCTAAGTTATTGAGCTTTTCGTTACTGATTAATTGTTTTGACATATGCTGAATTTTTCAGTGGATTTTGGAGTGAGTGCCCAGGTGAGTAGAACTAATGGGAGGAGAAATAGCTTCATTGGGACACCATACTGGATGGCACCTGAGGTGATTGACTGTGACGAGGACCCAAGATGCTCCTATGATTACAGAGTAAGTGTAAGGGTTCAGATAGTGGAGGTCTAAATTTGGAAAGGACTTTTGACTAATGGTTCTTGTTAAATGATAAAATAAAAGAATAAAAAGCAGGCAGTTCTTCCTTTCACATTAAACTCTAATAGGAAATACTAGTCACTATTCCTACATGTGGTTTGATTATATTCATAAAAATAATATTTTCTAAGAATGTAGGCAAAGTAGACCATTGGTAGTTATCCATATTTGAGAAAGAATATCTAGTTCATGTTGCCTGCAATTACTTGGTGAAAATATTATATTGTGTGGCTTTATATGAAAATTTAACTTCCAGGGGCACAGGGCTTTGTAAACTTAAAATGAATAAATGTAAAGCCAATTATTAATCCCCACAGTAATTTACCTCAAAAAAGAAATAAATAATAATTTGATTACTCAGAGTAATGGAGAAAATCCTCAGCATGGTTCACCTCCAAACCACAAAAAATCAGTGGAATAGACAAATCAAGTAACAGTTCATGCTATTTATTATAATTTCCACTGAAGCTGAAATTTGGACAATATACATCTATGCACACATTCCAAAAAGCTGATGTGGAAAGAAAACTCTCCCATCTGCTATAGGATGGAAAAACCACAGTCACTCTCCACATCATAAGTCATCCAAATAATTCATTGTGGTTTTATTGTGTGGAGCCTAGGACTCAATACTTGAAGTTGATTAATTTAAGTTACATCCCTTTTCCCTTTCCTTTAAATACCCTCTGCTTGATCTGCAAGCAGATCTATTGAGAGCTTATTATAAACCAGTGCTATTAGGAGCTATGGAGACTATGGAATCATAATACTCATTAAGTGGCTTGCTATAAAAGTAATGCTTTGCAACATTGTGTAAAGCTGTACAACACTTTGCAGTCTTCTAAGGATTTTCACCTATATTAATTATTTATTTTTTAACTTTAGCCCCATGTAACTGAAAGAAAGCTTAAACTTAGACCATCACAACAACCCTTTCATGCTAAGAGATCTATAGACTGGTGTCCTAAGAGTTCAGTTAACTTACTTAGGAGTTAACTGACAAACAGTATCTCTAGCCCTGTGCCCTTATCACATTCTATAAAAGCAAAGTACAATTAGTATAGTAAGGATGATTTCCTAGAGCATTGTGTAATATAATTTCCTAGAATTACAATAATTCTATCCTAAATTTCCTATATTCAAGGGACTTCTGAAAGTGCTTTTACATATATATTATTTCACTTAGTACTCCCACCAGTCTATGAGGTGGATACTATAGTTATGTCCATTTTACATAGGGTGAAATTGAAGTACAGGGAGTTAACTCATTTACCAAAGTTCACACAGCAAGTAGGTCTATGTGATAGGACTTCCTTATAGCAAGTTCCTTTTGTATTTCAGGTAAGGCAACAGTAGCAATACACCCAAGATGAATTTCCTTACACTGAACTCCATACCAGCCTGTTGTGTAGTGCAGTACTGGCTGGTCACAAGCTCAGATACTGTCTTCCTATAACATCAGTCTATACTGAAACTTCATTATTAAAAATCCCCATAAAATGGCTTTAGCACTGATACCCCCTTCTCAGCCAGCCAAACATCATTTTAAGATTCTAAATACAATCAGTTTCCCATTTTTAAGTGACATTCTTCTTGTCATCTTTTCCTTTGCAGAGTGATGTGTGGTCTGTGGGAATCACTGCTATTGAAATGGCTGAAGGGGCTCCTCGTGAGTAAAAGTGTTTTGTATTTGTCCAAAGTTAGGGTGATATGTTGTATAAGTCTGCCACTCGTACCACTCAACTTGTACTGGTTGCATAGGTGCCACACAATGTTCCAAACTAAATGGGGGCCTTTTCAGGGACTACCAAATTCTCTAGTCAGAATGGCCAAATACATCTATAGAAGGAGTATATGCTTTCTCTCTTGTGATATCTTATTTTAGGCTGACTGCTGTTTCAGTTTAGCTTCAATAGTATTTGGTCCTGACAGTTCTGACCAAACAGAATCTACAAGCATTCCAGTGCATATTGACTGATGGAATATTTAGGTTCCAGAACATTTACAGTCACACACTGATACTACTTCAGATTGTGAGAGTTGAGAAAATCCTCCAGTGCTTCCTTAATTGTTTAGACATAAGACTCCATTCCTTCTTGTATACTTATCCTTCTCATCATTTAAATATCCTGTTGGCATCCTGTTCTCTCAGGACACTGCTTTCTGATAGGAACAGGAAAATGGGATGTGAACTTGGATATATGGTTCATAACCATCTAATGTATGACCCCATAAGCAGAGCACATGTGCCATTTCTCATACATAAATCCAAAGACATAAATGATAAATACTTTCCTGGTTTTTTTTGGATAAGAAGTGAGAGAAATGCCTGGAGTATATGTGTGAAGGGGGCATTGCTTTGATTCCCCCTCTTCAAGCAGATCCAATAGGTTCCCATGTCCTTACATGCTCCATCTGCACAATGTCCACCCACCAAGCTTCATAAGCCTGGAAAATTTTAGCACTGTGTTTCAAGGCCCTTGGGAGCAATTTCAAGGTATAGTGGCAATATAATTATTAAAAATTCCTGATGTCCCTTGGAATATCAAGAAGGAGCTTGGAGAAAGCTGGAAGAGATGTGATCAGGTTACTGCTCCTCTCTGGCCCAAAAAACTACAAAGTACCTATGTTGGGTGAGTAAAAAGTAAATGATGGAAAAATTATGTATGCCACATACATAAAATTTTAGTGAGACTGGGAAGATGCATATTTTTCCTCATCATCTCTTGATTATTTCTCTTTGTGAAACATGCTTAGATTATGTTAGATTGAGCAGCAGCTACTGCTTCCTTTTCTTTTCCTTCTCTTTCTTGCTCTTTTACTCTCTCTCTTACTCTTTTTAAAATATGATACAGTATTCATATGAATATTGATGTGTTGTTTGGTCAGGATGCATGATAGTATCAAATAGTATTGTTTTCTATTGTTTTTGAGTGTTCCTTACTGTATCTTTTCAAAAAACTAGCTTTCTACACTTTACAGATTTGTCCTTCTTGGTTCACTTTTTTGTTGTTATTTTTCACCTTTTCATTCTAAAATATTAAATCATGGGAGAAAAGACGTGTAATGAGCAAAGTCACAGAAAGAGTACAGAGAAGGCGTTTTGCACAGAGGACGCAAATGGCAAACTGCTTGCAAAAGACCAGTGAGGAACAGGAGATTTTTAACTCATGGCAAGAGAAAATAGGGCCAGCATGCCTGGAAAAGTAATTGGAATGGCACAACTTTGGTCATGAACAACTTGAAAAAACCACACTGCTACAAATCTGTCTTTCACCAGCCTTCTTTACGGCCTGGAGTATTAACTTTGGATGGAAATGATTGTCATGCATTTAACTGCAGAAATCCTCCAGGTTATGATAATTATCATCTAAGAGGGGATGGCCTTCCAAAGCAACAGTTATGTGATAATTACCTCTGAGGTCCAGAAAACAAAATTCCTTTCTTTCTTTGGTTAGTCTCTCCCAGAAAAGTAAAATGAGAGGGAGAATAACTTCTCACTGAAAGGGTACTGTAGGGGCTCTCAGAGGAGAGAAGATCTGACTCATTGTATTCCAGAACCTTCTTAACGTCTTGGGTTCTGAGCAGGAATTCAAACTTAATATGGAGACCTTTAAACCAAGGCCAGAACATTGCTAGTAGTTATTCAAACATCAGATATCATAGGCCAATTAATAAAGAATAGGTGCAGTTTTTATTTTCTCTACTCTTTATAGGAAGTGAATCATTGCCTGATGAAGCAGGTTAGAGCTGACAGTTCCTCCAACTCTCCTTCCTTGTCAAAGATCTATACCAGTCAATTTGCCTTAATCTGAACCATATCTTTCCTGATTTTAGCATTTTCCTTGGTGTTGTACAGATTATTTTTAGTATTGTCGGCCATGTTTATTTATAGTCCTGCTTCTATTCCTTGTAGTGTCTCTTTCTTACACCCCAGACCAATCTTTACCTGAGTGTCTTGCAACTCAGGTTTACCCCTGTCCCATGAGAAGACCCATTCCTTCAGTATTCAGAAGATTCCTTTCAGAGCTCAACATACTGTAGCAGTAAACCACATTATTTAAACTGATCCAAACTACCCCTAGTTTAATGATGTTTCCAACCCATCAAGAGATGTATTTTTAAAGGAGGTTTGTTATTTCAAAGGAATGAGCCTATAATGGTGAAAATTTAGGCAATATTAGGAGATATGAGGTGAAGGGGGCATTTACTGGCATTCCTAAAATTAGACTATATAGGAAACCTCCATAATTGTTGGTTGATGTAGTTCTTGTCTCCACCCTATACACTATTCCTTTGTGGATTTCTTTCCCTTTACAAAAACTTACCTAGTATATGCCCTAATTTTAGACCCCTGAAGATGTTGTTAGTTGACTGAATGATGCTCAGATGTTAATAAATGACAACTGCTCGATATTGTACAAACTCACAATATGTTTAAAGGACAGAATCTGGTGACTGATTGGACACAATAGAGGAATGAAAAAAGTCAAATATGATCTTGATATTTTGAGTTTGGGGCTAATCCTGCCCTCAAGTATGAACCTGGGCCTTCTATCAATTTATACCCATGTAATTGAAACGAAAACTTGACCTTGGAACAATTATCTTTATATCACTCTAATGAAACTACCCTGGGGAGTTTTTTCCTAGTACTATAAGAGGCCAGTTCAGCCTTATTCTTCTGGAGATGTATTTTGGGGAAGGAAGGATGATGACTCTAAAGAGTCATTCATATCAAACTGTCCTCACATGAATGACACAGTTGTAGCATTAGATGAAATTTACACTATGGCTGTCCATTGGGGACATTTTTGTGCTACCAGTTTTCTTTAATCAAAACACAAGAGGCAATAAGTGAATTGAGACACATATTTAACACTTAAGAGAAAAATCCCAGAATTTCCCAACCAATAAGGTAATGAATTTATATAGCACATATTGGCAAGGTTTTTCTTTGTATGGCTGTGTGTCTGAAACAGAATGAAAATCCAGTAATTCAGCACAGACTTGAGGTGCCAGATAGTTAAAATCTTTTTAATGATATCAGAAGCTAATATGTATTAAGTGCCTCCTCTGTCAGACACTTTTACACATAGGTCACCCTTTAATCTTCACAGTCCTTCTTTGCAGGACTTCTTGCTATATTTCTTATTTTTCAGGTAAGGAAACTAAGGCACAGGTAGGTGAAATAATTGGCCTGAGACCACAAAGACAGAACTGGGCTTTGAACCCAGGTGGTCTTACTCTAGAGGGTGTGTTCTTAACAACTGATTACAATATGTCTACCTCTTTTCCTAGGATTTGCAGCTTCCAAAACAGATTCATCCAACTTTTTTAGACTACTGAATCATTCTTTATATATCACTGTGCTTAGCTACTAGTCTGGTTGACTCTTGTAGCCTGAGATTACATATTCTCATTTTTAACCGTAGATACCTGTGATACAAAAGCACAGAAGAGTGCCTATCTCTACTTTTAGTTTACTTCTCCAAATGTAAATCACTAATCACACATTTAAAAAGCCTTATCTATTTAAAAAATATAATTTATTATTGATTTGTCACACCTAGAGAAAGCAAAGCTTTAGGATCTTATTTAATGGGCCATTTGTGTTAAAATGAGCTTTTTCCTCTAACTACACTTTTTAAAATTTATTTATTCCTTAGTGTCTATTCAACATAATGTGTGAAAGAACACTGAGAATCCCCTCTTGAATGAAAAGTATGCTTTGTAGTTACCTTTTCATTAATTCTAAACTTACCTATTTTCCTTTGCAGCCCTGTGTAACCTTCAGCCCTTGGAAGCTCTCTTTGTTATTTTGCGGGAATCTGCTCCTAAAGTCAAATCCAGCGGATGGTAAAGATGAATGATGAATTAATCTCCTAAACTCTTTAGCTTGACATTTTTATGTAGCAGGGAAGTTTTAATTCATTTGGTCTGTCCTGCTTCTACATCCTTGTTGAATTTCTGTCCTTGTTGGACAGTATTTCCTAAACCCCAATACCTTAAGTGGAGGATCTAAATGACTAGGTTTTCATTAAACTAGCTAGGAAATTAGAAAGAAGTAATACCCTCCACAGTATATTATGATGACATTACTGTTCTGGCATTAGTAGCACATTCAGTTGTTTCTCCAGTAAGGGGGTGGACCAATGGAAACCATTTGTGAAGTTGGTCAATGTACCTATAGAGTGATTATGATATATATAGCACAGTCGTTTTGCCCATTAAACTACACATCCACAGACCTAGAGAAGAGGACTTGTTCTCTCATGGTGCTACAGGCCAACTAAATTTAGGGATCCTTCTCATTGAAGCTTTTGACCTAGTACCTGAAGCTCTTGTTTATTCTTAGTATTTATTGCTTGCCCTGGTAGAAGTGGTGATCATGATTTGATCGTTGACATTCTTCCTTGTGATTCAATTTAACCTTTCTCACAGATTCAGGTGTTCTGGCTGTATCTGTTTTCATGGCCCAGCTTATGAGATTAGTTAGTCCTGGTGCTATTAACACCCTTTTTTGGATCATTACGTCTACACCTCTCTAGCTCGAAATGCATATAGTCAGGTGAAACATTCAGGCTTCAAAGTATGATGGCTGTTGAAAGTCAATGTGGGCTGCGGGCTAGCCCATCTAGTTTCATGGTCTACATATATCACAGGAACCACTTAATTGCTATTCTACAACTTGCCTTTTACCACGTACATACTTCTAAACTCATTGAAGTTTCTACTATTATTTGGGTCAAAATGCCATTGACTCTGGCCTTTTCTGAGGTTTGAATAGCATTGCTGTATAATGTATATTGCCAAGCTGCAGGATATCTGGCAATTGAATAGACAATTATGGCTAGAGGCAACTCTCTCCAAAAATATGACCTTCAGGGTGACATGTGGGTGGGGGTAGGAGGAGTTGTAACAGGCCTGAGAATGCCGTTCTGTCTCTTTGACTCATTTCTTTTAGGTCCCGCAAGTTCCACAATTTCATGGAAAAGTGCATGATAAAAAATTTCCTATTTCGTCCTACTTCTGCAAACATGCTTCATCACCCATTTGTTCAGAATATAAAAAATGAAGGACATGTTGTTGAGTCATTAAAGAAACATCTTACTGGAATCATTAAAAAGAGACAGAAAAAAGGTAAAATATGTGAGCTTTTATTTTACTGGATGAGAGCAGAATTTATTTTTTTCAGGAAAAATCATATTTATTTAACAATTAGATTGAAAATAAAAATTCTGAGCCCTTCAATATTTAGTTTTTCCACTAATATACCATATGCACTTAATTCTTTATCTCTTGTCTGATCAGCTAGCTGTATAAGATTATAAATTGTTGCCAGTTACAACTGGCAAGTGTTCTTATGCACAAGGACTTTGAAAGCCTCAAGAAGAATTTTGTGATGTACAAATTTTAAGAAAATCCCTAACTAAAGAAATAAAATAAATAAAAACATAACAAAATCTATATCTTAGTGTTCTATTTGGACTTACATTTTAATTCATCTCAATGAGATAAGCAGATTTGTAATTAACCATTTATTAACTGTTAATTTTGAAGTAGCATCTGTGCACCATACAAAGTTTATTTTATATACTAATCTCCTACTTAAAGATATGATTAAAGGAACTAATTTATGCAAATAAAAATAAGCTTTTACATATTAATACCAAAACAGCAGGGTGGATTTTCATCAAATCCAGAGAAAACTACTTAGGAAGTTCTAACTTTATAGGTTGTGTGGCATATTCCACATTTAATTTGGAGATCCGTAGTGTCAAGAGTGGTAATGGAATGGAAAAGGGAGAACCTGAAAAAGATATCAGGCATTCTCAGATTAGCTACAGAGTTGATTGCAGTAGAGCTTCTTCCATCTGCATAACTATATGTATTGTATTTTGGGGTGAGAAGCAGCAGGAGTTAATATACCGAACCATGGTGGAGAATTCATTGGACCGGCATCACAGAAGCCAGCCAGTTTCAAATAGGTCCAGAAAGACCCCACATCTACTCGAGAATTTGCTAATTTCCAGAATTGCATGATTTCCAAAATATTATGTACAGGAAAAGTGGCATTTATACAGAGATTACATGGAAGATGTAAATATAGTTGTCCTAAACACTTCAATGTAGGAAATTCAAAAGAAAACTCTTTTGTTTGTAAGCTTCTATATTGCAGTACAGCACAGCTGACAGGAAAGAAGCCAAACATTTTTAATACGTTAAGTGTAAAACCCAGAATTTAGATCTTTACCTTCTCACTGAAAGGACCAAAGATCCTGACCCTCATTTTCAAAGATCTTCAATGAAAGGACCAAAACTAGGTGTGGGCCCAAGCCATAAGGTCCTTACATCTACATTACACAAGTATAAGCAATGCTCACCAGCCACCTAGAGTTTCTCTTGTCCCTTCTCCCTTTGCCTTTTTCAATTCTTCTTTTCACAATTGTACCAAATTGCTAAATTCTCTTTCCTATGCCAAGACTAATTAGTCTGTGTAGAATAGCTGCACTGTGTTACAAAAGTGTGCCTAGGAGCACAAACATATCTGTATCACCAACCAGGTGTGATTTGAAGGGTTACCTTCTTGTCCTTGTAAATTCACTTGACATTCTGAGCATAATGGGTGCAAATTGACTAAGGTAGATTACATTGATCTCTGCTGATTGTTATGCGTTAATTTTTTTATTTCATCCAAAGGAGTACCTCTGATCTTTGAAAGAGAAGCTATTAAGGAGCAGTACACCATGAGAAGATTCAGGTACATTAGACAAATTACATATGTTTTATGTTAGCAATTCGTATAAGACAGCTGATTGCATACTGTTGCATTTAACTCAGGAAAACATAATCCTTTCTGATACAACAAGTAATAGATTTCTGTTTTCAAGAGATATTTGAGTGGAAATGTTGAAGACTATTTTATTACTACTAAGATTCCTTAATTTCTGGCAACAGAATGATCAGACAATTAATAGTGAGTATATTAGTAATACAAATAATATTTCAACATCATAAGAATGATTCAAGGAAGATTTACTGAAAATATCTTTATTGTAGAAAATGCCCATCTTTTAAAATAAAAACATTTTCTCTGAATGGCTTCACTCCACTGACAATCCTAATGGTATGGCAATCATTTGTATGTTTATCTTTAGAGGACCTTCTTGTACTCATGAGCTTCTGAGACTGCCAACCAGCAGTAGATGCAGACCACTTAGAGTCCTACATGGAGAACCCTCTCAGCCGAGGTGGTTACCTGATCGAGAAGAGCCACAGGTCCAGGCACTTCAGCATCTACAGGGAGCAGCCAGGGTGTTCATGCCACTACAGGCTCAGGACAATGCACCTAGGCCTCTACAGGGGCAAGCTCAGGCACCTCAGCGACTACAAGGGGCAGCTCGGGTGTTCATGCCACTACAGGCTAAGGGTAAAGTTAAGGCATCTAGGCCTCTACAGATGCAAATTAAGGCACCTCCACGACTACGGAGGGCAGCCTGGATGCTCATGCCACTAGAGCCTCAGGTTAAGGCACCTAGGCCTCTACAGGTACAGGCCCAGGTACCCAAAGAGCAGCAGGCTGATGCCCAACATCAGGCATCAGAAGAACTGCAAGATCTGGACCAGGTACCAGAGGAATTTCAGGGACAAGATCAGGTACCTGAACAACAAAGGCAGGGCCAGGTCCCTGAACAGCAGCAAAGACAGAACCAGGTACCTGAACAGCAACTGGAGCAGAACCAGTCACCTGAACAGCCTGAGGTACAGGAGCAGGCTGCTGAGCCCACACAGGCAGAGACTGAGGCAGAGGAGCCTGAGTCATTACAAGTACATGCCCAAGTATTGCTGCCCCTACTGTCACAGAACCACCATGTGCTGTTGCCACTACATTTGGATACTCAGGTGCTCATTCCAGTAGAGGGACAAACTGAAGGCTCACCTCAGGCACAGGCCCGGGCCCTTGAGCCCCTGCAGGCAGCTGGCTCAGTTCAAGTACTGGTAGAGGGACTATCAAGAGACTTACTTCAAGCACCAAACTCGCATAATTCAAAGCCACTTGGTCCACTGCAAACCTTAATGGAAAACCTGTCATCAAACATGTTTTACTGTCAACCAGAACAGGCACGTAAGAAAAAATCAATGGTTTCTAGTCTAAGGCAGGCATTGGCCAAAATACTCTCACCGAAGAGGTTCCGGATAAAGTTATCACGAAGACCTGAAGAATCTGAGCTCTCAGATTTAGAAGCCCACAGGCGAAGGCGCCAACACAGCATGAGGCTCTTCAATCAGCATGAGGAAGAACTGAGACAAGTTGCACATGTAAGAATTTCTGACATTTTTACTGAGTCATATATGCAGAGGAAATATGCTACTTCATACTTAATGTTTTCCCTCTGTGAAACCAAATGAAATAAATATCTCTTGTGTCTCAGAGAATATTAACTTAATAATTTGTTCTTCAAATAAATTATCTTGAAATTTCCAGATAATTGTTACTAAATTTGAGGAAAAAAAATTGCTTGACTGATCCAGGTAATTGCTTAGTATCTTCATAGAGATAGAGCTTTAATTATTAGTTTTCTACCTATATTCCCTTAACCAGTAAAGGAATACCATATGCACTTCCAAAATTACTATTTTGGATTTTTAAAATTACCTTCATAGTACAAAATTTCAAACATAAGTCATTAAAACTAAACACAAAATGAATTTAATTTTGTTCCTCTAATCTCTAAGTTAATTTACTCTTTCCATAGAACACTGAATTGTGCTATTTAAATGAATTGCACTAATTTTTGTATTTCAGTATGTTTAAAACAAGGTTAAAATGAGAAGGAAAAGTATTCCAAACCATTTTGTGTATAGTTACCAGATGTATGACTTGTCTCACTAATATTCCACCTGTTTTACATAATTAATGAATGAAGTGGCTTCATGGAACATGACACAAGTTACAAATTCGTCCCTGCGCTCTTCAAATGTCAGATGCAGTATGTTTATTTCTTTACCATATTCTGGATTAGTCAATAAAATATCATTCTTTCAAAATTCCCTAATGTGCGTGGATATAATTTGGCTGGAACTGATTAATTTAATCTAACATATCTAACCTAACAGTCAAGTTTGTGAGCTTCATAAGCAAATTAACGAGGTCAACATGTTTAGGACTACAATTGCTTTCTAATACTTCACAGCATCCATTTACATAAGAGGAATCATTGTAAGGATACTAAATTAAACCTTGGTACCAATATCCATTTATCTAATATAATTAATATATTAATTAAAAATAAACCTTTTCTAAATGTCTAAATAACAGTTTTTTGGGTTGTATCCATTGAGCCAATTGAACAAATGCTATTGCCCTGACATGTTTAACATGAGAAATGTAAAAGCAACAAGAGAAGAAAGGCCCCAAAAGGGGAAATGGATGTCTAGTCTCCAAAAACATGGGAGAAAGGAAGAGAAAGAAACCAGATAGAGAGGTGGAGGTATGAGTCTAGAATGGTGGTATTTACCTGAAATTAAGGCATCTAAAATGCTAATGACTACTCTTAATGAGCCCTAATAACAGTTAGATCTAGCAAATTTTGCATTTGTGAAAAAGACGTTTAAGTATCCCTGAAAGATTTATAGTATTAGTAGCATGGCACATACTTATTGTCATTCAGTGTTTTAAATATATATGTGAGAAGCTATTCTAAAATGGAAGAAAAAGTCAAAAATAATAGTTACTAATCCTATGACCCTAAGATCTTGCACAGACATTCATAACTTTATGTGTGGCTCTTAAAGAAAACATAAAAGAAGAAAATTAATAGTACTATAGTCAAAGTCATAGGTCTTTTGAAATACCTGAAAATTTATTAGAGTTTAGAGCCATACGTGAGTGCTTCAACTCACCAGAGGGAAGGAAAACACATTTTCATTTCTCTTGAACTGAAGAAATACTATTGATTGTCTTAAATGGGAAAACAGAAAATGCTCCTAAATTCCTACAGTTCAATTAGGGGCAAATATTTGCACTGCTGTATTATAGATTTTCCACTTCACAGGAAGACCAAACTTTGTAGTTATAGCCACTTACTAAATATGACAGTTTGGGCTTATAAGTTAAATTTTAGACTGGAGATTCTTAACTTGGGCTTAATAGATGAACTGTAGGTGGTCAGTGATTCCCCTGAAAAGAAATGAGGACATATGTGTCTATATGTAGTTTTCTACAGAGAATCTATAGCATTCCTCAGATTCTGAAAGGGGTCCAGAATCAAATACTATTAGAATCTACTGGTTTACATCAATTGTAACATTTGAAAATTATTCTTTTAAATTGTACATTAAGATAATGATGTTGCTCCTATCACTTGCATTTTAACAACAGTTAAAATATTAATTTTTCTTTTTGTTTCAAAGGACAAAAAAGATGAATCATCAGACAATGATGAAGTATTTCATTCAATTCAGGCTGAAGTACAAATAGAACCATTGCAACCATACGTTCCTAATCCTAAAGGAAATGAAGTAGGTTTCTCAATATGAGTTGCTGTGACATTAATATGTGCCTAGAACAGTGGTTCTTAAACGTTTTTGTTTCAGAATCTCTTTATAGTCTTAAACATTGAAGACCCCCCAAAACTTGTTTATGTGGATTGTGTGATTCAATATTTAATGTATTAGAAATTAAAACAGAAAAAAATTAAACTATTAATTCATTTAAAAAGTAATGAAAGTTAAACCTAACCAAGGAAGTGAAAGACCTATACCCTGAAAACTATAAGACACTCCTAAGAGAAATTAAAGATGATACTAATAAATGGAAATTCATCTCATGCTCTTGGGTAGAAAGAATAAAAAAAAAGTAATGAAGTTATTACATGTTAATATATAAAAAATTAAGAACAGTAACTTTTTCCATCTTGCCTAATGGAAAACAGCTGGACTCTGATATCTGCTCCTGCATTCAATATGTTGCCATATGTTGTTTTAGGTTGAAGTATATGAGTGAAAGCTGGTTTCTCACATATAGGTAGTTGGAAAGGGAGAGTTTTCATAGCTTTTTCAGATAATTTTAATGTACCAAAACTAGAGAAGTTGAATCTAAAACTGTATCAGTGAAATTTTGTATATTCAGTAATATTAAAATCCATTGGTCTATAGTGTGCAATGAATAGATGTTTTGCTTATACCTGGTTTTGTATCATCATGAATTGGTCAGAAAATTTTGGTTCACTATATGTATGTAGATCTTTCCAAGTGTTCACACATTGCATTATACAGCATCAAAAAACAGTATTTGTTAATACCACCATCAATTCCATCAAAAAAGTTATTGAGTATCAGTAAGCTCTGAAGTGCAAGGTGACAGATAAGAGTTTAAAATTTTTATTTTCACTTGAAAGCTCAAATTTTTCATGGCTAACAAATAGCATTAGTTGTTTACCCCTTGATTTGACAGGCTTACTATACTGATTTTAAATAAAATGCCTGCCAAATACCTAAGTTGAATAATCATAATTTGTCTTGTCAGTTTCTTTTAAGTAAAAATGTTGTCTCATTGTTCTTAATCAGCAGAAGGGCTCCACATCATGATATTTAATCCTTCAAGGTGCTTCACAGTAGTTTACTATGTCTTTCATGAACGATTGTTCTTTTGAAATAAGTTCTTTTCTGATAGTAACAATCCTCTGGCATGAATAACAGAGTATTGCTTTATAAATACTAACCACTGGCAGAAGGAACTTAAGCTGGATTCGTGTTATTTTATTACAAGAGGGAATATGCCTCCCTTTCTCCTTATTAAATGATGGTTTTACTCTTACTCTCAGACAATAATTATTACCTTAAGCACGACACCTTAATCAGGGTATATATAAGGAACTGCATCTGACTGGCTTGGAATACATCATTTGCCTTAGTATACGCTATTACTTCTAATCCTTTTCTTCTCCCCATTTTTCAGATCAAATACAGCCAATTCGTATTAGGCATTTACCTTTCTTATTTTTTAGCCTTTATCTCTTATGAGTAATTTTAGCCTCTGGTTTACTACTGCCAATAAACTTTTTGAGATCAGCTTCATGAACCAAGAGGCCTAGACTGGGTCAATGTGACGCCAGCTATCTGAATCTTAAGTGGAAAAAGTCTGTCAGATGCTTGTCCTGCATACTGCCAAACAGCTAGTTACACTTAGAAAACTCACTAGCAAAACAGATGAATGATTAATAACGTTTTTCATTTCTTACCTATCTGTCTTTTGGAGTGTGAAGACAACCTTGGTAAGTCATTACATAGAAAAAAATAGTGTAGTAAAGTTAGCATAGTTTCTAGAAATTATAGCATGATTTTATCAGCATTATTTAAAAATGTAACACAAATTTTCCTCTCTAAAGAATCAGTGTGACTGCTTTGCTCAATGTCAGAATGACTTATTTATTGGGTAGCTAAAAACTATTTTGGGTAGAAAACTAGACATATAAAATTAAATTAGGCAAGGCCCTATCTCCTCCATGGCCCCATCTACTAATGTTGACAGAAAGTAAATCTGCCCCACTAATGGCAACTGGCTTATTATATGTACTCTTTCTTGAGTGCTTTGCTGTATTAGATATATGAACAATAGAATCAAAATTAATTCATTTAGAATTGAAAAAGTTTTTGGAACACTATGGTATTACAGTCAAATTATAAAATGAAAAACATACTTTTTAAAAGATGAGACACTTGATTTTAAAAGATGAGACACTTTTGATTTGAGAAAGTTTAATGATGTATCAGTACATGTGTTACAAAATCTTTTGAAAATTTAGGGTTAATTTAAAAGGATGAGTGAATGAGTTTGAACTTAAATTCTAAGTGAGAAGTTTGGACTTCATATAAGAAGTAATATGAAAACATAGAAAGAACATTAAATTAGCAATTGGGAGATATATATTCTGATTATAGATGTTTTTTGACTTGATGTAAAATTTTTAGAAAAGTGATTTTCCCTCACTGGGTTATAGATTCCCCAATAATAAAAGGAGGGTGTGTTTGAATATATGATTTCCAGAATGTGTTATTATACTAAAATTCAAGGATACCATCAGAAATTATGATTAAGCAGATCTAATGTTATAAGAAATTATGAAAACATGATTATTTATGAAAACCAGATTTCATAAGTTGGATTTTTAGAAAAATATCTTTATATGAAGAAAGGCATTTCCCATAAACTAATAGCTCAAAGGAATTTATGATTGAGAATTCTGATGTGTTACATGTGGCCCTAAGGTCCAAGAGAGATCTGCTTCAATGCCTTACAATCAGGATTATGCACACCATGTCAAGTTCTCTTCAAGGTATGTGTCTCTGATTTCTATATTCAAATTACTCACAATTTACTATCATGTAAAATTAAAGCTTACTTATTTAACACTAAGTTCTGTGTGAAGTCAAAGCTGAAATATTAATGTCAACATCATCATCAATGGTATTATTGACCCATATTTAAAACCTTATCTGCAAAGATCCACTAACTAGCTCTTTCATATTTGGACATACTGCAATCTCAGTGCCATTTAGTTTAATAATTAGTTTGTAAAATCCACAATTTAATACAATTATCAACAGTGCATATTTTGACAGCTTTCAATTAGTAATTTACCGTAAAAAATCATGAAATTTCATGTGTATCATTTACTTCATTTACACATTTTGTCATATAGTACACCATAGATATCATCTACTACATGATAAAATGTACAAACAATCCCTAATCTCAGAAGCTAATGCCACAGAATGGGCAAGCCTGAAATGGTTTAGAGGAAAATGGAAATCTAAATCTCAATATGATATCAACGATATTTTACACTAGTCACTCTATTTTTTTATCTCTAATATCAGTGATCTTCAGTAATTTTCAAACATCATATTTGATGTTTTAGATGTTGTGTGCAATGTGTTATATATGAAAGCTAAATTTTATTGTAGATTTTCCTTGAGAATCATATCCCTTCTAACTCCAACTCATAGTGGGCAGAACTTAGCCTATATTCATTCACTTGGGCATTTTGTTAATATTTATTGAGCACTTACTATATTCAAAATATTGAACGGTATGGTCACATGGCATAGAGTAGGTAGTATGTAGTATGTATATTCCTATTTCATGATTTATTGAAACCCCATATATTTATGCTCTTATATTTAACTAGTATGCAGAAATCTTAGAAAACTGAACAGCAAGATTGGGATGATCTTTCTCTTTCTTTGCATTCAGTGAATGATTTTTCCTGGTCCTTCTGATTATAAGGACTAAATCAGTTTAGTTTTGTGTATACGTTTTTGGTATCATGAGGTATGACTTCAATAAAATTCAATATATAAAAATCAATATTGCTATTGTTTACACTGGAGTTGGTTGTCCATGTGCAAAAGGATTTTTGAATTTATGAATAGCGTATATGTTAAATTTAAATATGGTTAAATTTATAGAATTAAATGAAAGTTGACTCTTCCAACATTTGGGGGTCATAGAAAAGACTTGTCCATTCCAGGCCTAAATCACTAACCAAATTCCTTCTTATATAAACATTCCAAAGAAAGTACAAAATTTTGCAGTACTGGTCCAAAGAGATTTTCTAAATAGTCCCTGAATTTGAATAGTAGAAACTAAAGTGTCTTGTTTATGTGTCCATCCATCTATCTATGTAAATCAGGAACAGGGCATTAAAAAATACAAGTGCCAAGCATTTGAAATTAGGATGATAATAGTGGACTATTTGGCATAACTATAACTTAGCTTTTTTATCATGTTAAAATCCTCACATAAACTATTATGCTTATTACTGTGTTACCAGGGTAATAATAATGTCAATATTAGCTCAAAAAAGTTTATAAGAATTTTTATTAAAAAATATGTGAAGGAAGCATATACTATATGGAAATACCTTTTCATATTTCAGAAATTGTTTCCCTGTCCTAGATAAATAAGCAGTTTTGGGGGGAAATGGAAATTAGAAAATATTACTTAAGATCTATTTCTTTTCTGTTTGATATATAACCATATGCTTAAAACTTTTGTCTTTGTATTGAGTTGTATATCCCCTTGATGAATGTTAGGACTTAGCACATGCTTTTCTGTCTTCAATTAGTGTTCCTCAGCGATCTCTTTTGGAACAAGCTCAGAAGCCAGTTGACATCAGACAAAGGAGTTTTCAAAATCCTCAGAATTGCCCAGCAACATCAGGTGATTAAAAGCACAAAGTTTAAATAGCCAAAACATGGATCCACTGTTTTAACAGTTTATATTGCAGAAGTCAAGAAGGAATGAATCAAAAATCTGAGGGAGGCCAAGTAGGATTAAGATCAGGAAGCCGTCAGATTTGACAATTGTGTTGTTGAGTAGTGACCTTTGAGAAAAGGAAAGTGATTTTCTGAAGTTTCTTCTTTCAGTTGGGTCGCAGTTAGGTATGTGCCTAGGGAGGTGGGGGATGTCAACTGTACTTTCTATGCCATGTATGAAAAATATGAGACAGGAACTTGGGAGAAGCCTTTTAACACACTAAAATTTATGGTCAATCTTTAGAATATTGAACTATTAGAAAGAATAGCTGTTCATTTGTTTTATTTATCAGTTTGTTGGTTCACCTCCCTGAAGTAAGATGTTACAGTATCTCAAAACTGAATGTTACAAATTGGTGTTTTTACTCAAAATACATGAAAAAATTAATAAAATCATAGAAAATAACTTCACAAATTGTGATACAAATTTCAAAAAGTATTTTATTTTATGATGTGCTTTTGAGAGTATAAATGAATTATAGATTTGTAAAATACTAGGATAAACAAAGCCAAAATTGTGCCTTAGATCTTAAAATCTGGCATTAGCTACTTTTAAGCAATCCAAGTAAACTAAGCATGGGAAAAATACCTGATCAAGTCCCAAGCCATCTGTAAAAATGTAACATACAATTTTATTGAACTGTTAATAAAAAAGATATATAAGTATCCTGTATAAAAATCATATCTTTGAAGACCTGAGCTTAAAAGCCCCACTCTTCTTAGGAAATTCAGGTAATGGCAGAATTATTTTAAATAGTAGTATCGCCTAGTGTAGAAATACTATCTTGTGAGAAATAAGATAAGCCTGCATGAAGGATAACTTTAGGAATTTTCCCCCACAGTATCCTTCTGGTTTGGCTAGGACTAATTTTGCCAGTATCAGGCAAACAACTAAACATTTAAGGTTCATTCATATTGCATTTTTTGAAATAAGGAAATTCTGCATTATGTTCCAAAGCAGTCATGAACACTGCTGTGGATAACATCTGTGTAGATAATTGAAGTTCTTTTCAACTCTAAATAAAATTCTATTATTTTGTCATATGTGCCACATAGCCCATTGAAGTTCCCATGAGATTGCACACTTCAGGCAGGGAGTCAGAGCACCTTACTCCAGGTTTGCCTCAAATCTCAAACACTCAAAATTTTTATTTAGTCTAACGATAGAAATGGTTTTCTGCAGACCAATGAACTGCAGAAGTACAACAGTGCTATAAGATGCAGACACAAATTGTAGGATATGTTCAGTATAATATTCAGAAAAGATAGCAGTGTTTGTAGATACGTGTTTTTTGGAGTTCTAGTGTCTATACTTTGGCTATATTTAGCAGGGCTGCAAATAAAAAAGGACAGTACTGTTTATATTTAAAATTCAAACACACAAAAGCAATAAACAGGGACTTTAGTGCTCCCCTAGTGAATCTTTTTCTAAGTACATTCACTGATTTCTACTGATTTTTGAGCCTAAATATTCTCACCGTATTTTAACAATAGGTGTTATTTATTATACTACAAACCCTAATTCAAAAATCCAGACTTCCAATCCAGATAAATTTACATCCTAAGTGGTGGAAGCATTCACACTATAGAACTGAGCTCTGCATTGATAGCAACTAGCCAAATGTGGCTATTAAAATTAAAACTAAGTTGAAAATGAAATAAAATAAAAAACTCAACCCCTCAAACACACTGGTCATATTTGAAATGTTCAATAGCTATATGTGGCTAGTGGCTAATATATTGGACAGTGCAGATATAGAACATTTCCTATTACTGCAGAAAGTTCTGTTGCACGGCATCACTATAGATATGTTCCCAGCTTTATAAATAGGTTAAGGTTTTGTCTCTTTTCAATTGTTCACTTCTCAAGTGTATTAAATATTTGAGGGTATATCATTGAGAAGATATTGGGGGATTGAGATTGCAGGTCGACTCTCTTGAGAGTTTTGCCTAATCTATCATCTTTAATACACTGTTAGGCTCTTTTCTGGTGATTAGTATGGGAGGCCAGTGGTGTCACACAGCCCTTTCTATTCTTGATATATTACTTTTAAAAATGGAACTTTTTATCTACCAGTATTACTGTGTACCTTTGTACACTGAGAGGGATATTTAGCAAGTGCACACTTAATATTATCAAGAGATAAGCCAAGTAGATTTATAGACAGAACAAACTTTGAGCCTATCACTATTCCTGAAAACAGAACCTAGGATCCTGACCCCATGAGAATTTATCAGGTTATATTTTTTTGAATGGAAAGAGGCTATAAGAAAAACACCAAAGGACTGAACTGGTGCATTATAAAGATGAAGGGAATGGCTGTGATCACTACTGTTATTAATGCCTTTTTGGCATTCCACAGAATCTTTTTCTGAGGAAGAGAGCCCCATGACCTGGAGGAGGTCCCAGTCATCACCACCTTATTCTACTATTGATCAGAAGTTACTGGTTGATGTCCATGTAGGTTTCCTTTTAATTTTCAATTTATTTTGACTTATATATTTTCATCTTCACTTAAGGGAAAGGTTAAAGGGTGTTTAGCTTTTAAATTACTCTTTAAATATAGATTTCCATTGTTAGTGAGTATGCAGAATATGAAATTGAATTTGAAATGGAAAAACATTTAATTGATCATAAAATATTTTATTTTTGCGTTCTTATGTTGGAACACACTTCTAAAAAGGAGTGATAAAAAGCTATTTGTAGAAGCTAATTTCAAATTAAGGAATAGAAAATTGAGAATGTTCAATTATTGTCTATTATCATTTCTTGGATGATGAGGCAATACATAAAAATAAAACATTTAGCAAAAAATAAAATGCCCTCTGCATAACTAAAAAGTCTTCCAGTTCTTTTCACAGTGTACTTACAGATCATTGTTTTATTTCTGTAATTATCCCTACCTTACCATATATATCCCTTTCAGACTGCCCAAAGGATGCTTATATTCCACATACCATACTTAAAGGTGGATTTATATTAATTTGCTTCTTATAATTGTTTGAGTTATTTTAAGACAACATATGTTATATAAAATCTAAACCTGGCAAATTAACATATCAATTTTAAGAGTTATGTGTTATCCCAATATCAGAGGATAAAATAAAAGGAAAAAGTGACTATATCTTCCATAGAGCATCAAATCATTTGCTCTACTCTCCAGTACCACAAACAATGTCTATTCCTCAGCAGACAAACAGGGTCAATAAAAAAACTAATTAAATGTTGTCCTGTGTGATCCAGAAAGGCTATTAATGATCATAGCCAAAGGTTTGGGTTTTGGCATCTCATCCTCACAGAAATGTTGGCTCTGTCTAGTGTGTGAACATCTTCACTTCAATGGAAAATATTTTAAAAATATTGTCATCTTGGAAACTTTTCAATCTGGAAGAAAAAGAAAGGCTACTAGAGACTACATTAACCTTTCTTGTGCACACAGGTTCCAGATGGATTTAAAGTAGGAAAAATATCACCCCCTCTTTACTTGACAAATGAATGGGTGGGCTATAATGCACTCTCTGAAATCTTCCGGAATGATTGGTTAACTCCTGCACCTGTCATTCAGCCACCTGAAGAGGGTGGTGATTATGTTGAACTTTATGAATCTGGTGCTGATATTGATGGTCATGATGATTCTAATGATGTTTATGAAGATACCACTGACCATAACAACGGCAATGTCTTGGATAACCAGGTCGATCAGGCTGTTGATGTCGGTGAAGACCATGACGATGATGACAAGGATGAGGTTGTTGATGGCAAAGGCAATAATTGTGATGATGATCCTAGTTGGCCAAGGTTGGTTTCTGGAATTACTTGCACTATCCATGTTTTGTAATTTCAGAACTATTTGCATCTTTAATTTTCAAAAATTATTACAAAGAGGGGGAATGAATCGCACTTGCACATTGGCAAATGACTGGTTTTCAACAACAGATTTTAAAGAAATAGATTTACACTTGAATGAAAAACAATTTTGCATTTTTTATATTATAGTTTATTAGAATTCAAGTATTTATTAGGTTCTTCATAGCTGGAATTGTTGGGGTGTTACTGTTAAAATTAATGCCACTGGATCACCCTACCCTAAAACCACAATGACTGTGAGAAATGGGGTGAAAAATGAAGTCATGTGCTACTTAATATCTATAAGATAAAGCCCTGATATTTGTGGACAAAATATCTAAATATGCTGAGAAAAATGGATTGCAAACTGGATTCTCACTTGATATTGTTAGGCTGAAACTTACTAACATAGCATCATGCTTGAAATTCTGAAAACTTCTGTAACTAAATTCAGTACTCATTCAATTTGATCCTCTTATGGAATAGCTGCTCAAAGTGGTAATATTTAGTGAAGTAGTGTTTTTGGCATACCACCAGTTGTTTGTTATATATATAGTTCTTTGCTCCCACTCTAAACAGTCACAGTGTGATCTTATTTGCATATACTCCTGGTTTGTATTTAAACTGCTATCAAAGACATTTAATATAGTACGTTTACATTTTTTGAAAAATAACAGTGTGAGAATTGTTTGCCTTATAATATTGAAATTCATATATTGTTTTGGTTATTTCAAATGTTTCTCTTTTGCCAACTAAAAACATATACCAGGAATTCCATTTTCAAATAAATTTGCTTATAGAATTATCATAGATATATGTTTATGTTCTCATTTATGCAAAAGATCATTGAGATGTTTTCTTACATGTGATGTCCTTTGTAACTAATTAAATAACTATCTTAGCTTAATGCTATCTGTATTACTGAACTTCCTGGTGGCAGTAGTAGAACAATCAATGGAATTCTGTAGCCAAGCAGTCAATACATATGTTAGAAAAGCAAGGCACATGTTAAAATTAACATAAATTATATATATATTGCAAGAAGAATTACTGAAATATGTTGTGGTTGAGAAAAAAACATGGGCTTGATCATTCATGTGGCTGTGAAGTTGCAAATGCATGAAGTAGTCTATTATATACGAAGAAAACATATTCTTGCTACTAACCTAACACATGTTCTTAATAAAGGATGTAATTTCTCTTCCAGATGCAAGTTGTCTTCCATCTGCCACCCAAATGCAGCCAGGCAATTGGCAGTGGCTATTGTATTCAATATTTAAGATTGACAGAACGTAGGGACATTTTTCTTGTCTGTGCCATACCAATATGATTCATGTAGAGCAAAAATGTGCCTGGTCTTATGGTATATATGTATAAGACACATCCTAATATTGTTTCATTTGCTGACTTTCAAATGTGTTTTTGTTGGGTTGTTTTCTATCATTAATTGGATCTTGTTATCAGGCCAAGTTATGACAGAAGTAGGAGCTGCAAACAAGATGGTAGAGATAGAAGTGATAGAGAAGAAGGAACCTGCAGCAGCTATGGACGCCAGAGAGCCAGTAGAAGCAATGGAAGAAGTGCAGCCAGTGGGAGTCATGCAACCACTGGAGACCATGAAGAGCACAGAGCCAATATATACACTGGAAGCAGCGGCAAGGAGGGTAATGAAGGTAAGGGAGTCAATGGAACCACTGAAGAGAGTGGAGCCCTTGAATTCAATGGAGGAGAAACTTGCTCAGAGACAGATGGTCCAGGATTGGAGAGACCAACATCACAGGACTTTGAACATCAACAGGAGGTAATGTACCAATTAAAAAGGAGAAGAAATTCCTCTCCTGTGAATGTGTTTCCTCACATGATAGGTCACATTTCTAGCCATTAATATATTTTCAATTTCTCCCCCACAGCCTTTAAACATCTTTAATCACAGCTATAGATAGATCTTTACTAATTTGGGTGGTTCCTCTTTACTTATAGGAACAAAAGCAGCTTCTTTGTTTACCTGTTATGAAGAACATGTTTGTGGTAGTGTCTGAACACATACAAACATTTTTTCTGGGAAGTTTCATTGTGGTAAAATACACATAACATAAAATTTTCCATTTTAATCATTTTAAGTCTAAAATTCAGTGGCATTAAGTACATTCATATTGTTGTACAACCATTACTACTATTAATTTCTAGAACTTTATCAACATCCCAAACAATTAAACAATTAACTCCCCACTCTCTCTCCTACCAGTCCTTGCTAACCTCCATTCTACCTTCTGCCTAGGTACCATATAGTAGAATCATACAATATTTGTCCTCTGGTGTCTGACTTATTTCACTTAGTGTAATATTTTCAAGGTTTACCCATGTACCAGAATTTTCTTCCTTTTTAAGGCTGAATGAATGGTATTGCATAGCATTATTATATCACATTTTACTTATCCATTCATCTATTGATGAACACTTGGATTGTTTTCACCTTTTGACTATCATGAATAATTCTGCTTGTGAACATTGGTATACATGTATCTGTTGTTGAAGTAGTTTTCAATTATTTGGGCTACATACTTAGGAATAGAACTGCTGCAGTGGAATTGCTAGACTCTATTTTAACTTTTTGAGAAACTGTTAGCACATACAGTTTAAACAAAAGTAATCCACTGGCTTTAGACAATGATTTTGTCATTTGCAAAACATTTATTGACTTTGTGAATAGGTTTAAAAATATTCAAGTAGCTGTACTGTTCACCATGTAAGAACTTATTCACCATGTAAGAATTCGTTCACCATGTAAGAACTTGTTCATTATGCTTCAGAAGATTGGAGACAGACAAGAATCAGGCTTGAGATGGATTAATGATTGTGCATTGGGCAATGACCCCCCTATACAGAATTTTATTGTTGTTAACAACCATTTGATCAATAAATATGAGAGATGCCCTCTCAAAAAAAAATATTCAAGTAGCTTTAAAGATGCTAGACCAATAGGAATTATCACAGAAAAGATTTCCTGGCACACATGGTATTTGAATTAATTATTGACAAATGGGGAGTATTTGGATATCTGAAAACACAGGTGAGATTCCAGACAGAGGAAATATCATGCCAATTTACTTCCCCAGACTATTTGCCTATCACACAAACTGGCTTAGAAGATGCCATGCTCTCTCATGAATTAGTGCCCTTGTGTAAGCTGTACCTCTGTCCATTAGGTTGCCCCCTCACTTCTCTGCCTGATGAACTAGTCATAGGATGCTTCATGGTCCTACTCATATGATTTTTGAATTTCCAAGGCAGAATCATATACCCCTTCCTCTATGCTTGCAAGCATTTTTGCTCATAGTTTCATTTTAGTACTTATGATATAACTTAGTTATTTATTTGCTTTTATGTCACACTAGATTCTGAACTCCTAAAAGGCAGGAACTATGTTTAATCCATCCTTGATGACTTTTCTCTACCCACTTACCCAATCCCAGGGTCCATCCTAGGGCTTGTCTATGATAGGCACACAATAATTATGGAAGAAATCAATGAAGGAGAGAAACAAAGAAAAAAATGGAGGAAGGAAAGTCCTCAAATGGTTTCTAATAGGAAAGCAGTATCAGTGGAAAAGTAGGTTTGTCTGTCTATCCATCCACCTACCTACCGGTCTAATTAAAGACATTAAAATAGGATGCACCAACATAGTTTTCATAGCACTGCTGGATAGCTCCAATAATCCCAAGAAATGTTTTTGATGTTTATAGAGTGAATGGATCTTCCTTTCATTTTAATTAAAAAGGACATGTTGCCATACATACATTTTTGTGGTTGGAAATGTCATAAAAACAAGCTGTTGACAGGGCAGAGCAACTCTCAGTGCCAGCAATCACTGTTTAGACACAAAGAAATGCTTATCAACAGATAGGCTTACCAAAAAGTTTGTATGTTTTCCACAGCATATGGCATCCCACATAAATTCTGTCACATTTTGTGTTTTGTATCCTTGAGTTTTTTCCTTGTAAGTTAATGGAAACTGGTACATTTTCAGTAAAAATATTCACACTTGAATTTGTGTTGGTTGATTTTCCATCATTAGCTTTCTCATTTGACAAAGTAAAAGTAATATCCCCACCCTGGTGCTCTTTTAAAAACATCTTTTTCAAAACATTACTTTTGGCAGAGCATAGCTGAATGTAAGCTTTGCAATCAAACAGACCTCAGCTTTAAACTATAGTCCCCCTACTTAGCTCTATGACTTTGAATAAATTATTTAACTTCACTAAGCTTAGTTTCCTTATAAATAAAATGGAGATAATTATACTTACTTTCTGGGCTGTTGTAACGATTCATAAAGATGTAAATAAGATGCCTAACAGGGTACCTTGTACACAGTAAAAGTTCCATATATATTAGGTCCCCAAATTGACAGCTAGGGACTTCAACCTCCTTGAATTTCTCCTCTGATATCAATTGTTTCAATACAGATTAGTGCTATTTCCTCGTAACATTGTTGAGTTCTTCTGGTAAATGTGTATTTTATAAGAGTACAGAATTATAGATGTTACAAATTTTGCATTCTGTTTTTCAAATTACCCCAAAGCATATTATATTTCTCTCACTGTTAATCTCCTAATAAAGGCAAAATACATTTTCAATCTTCTTTTAGGAACAAGGTGGTAGAAGTGAGGCCTCAAATGCCATTGTCTCAGGTAGTGTACCCGCAGTACATGATGATGAGGATGACAGTATGGACATATCAGAAGCATCAACAGAATCAGATTTTTCTGCCAGCCGCTCATCTTCTTCCAATGGTTGTGGGAGGACTGCAACTGTTGACTTTGCCAGTGCCATCTGTGAGTGTGTTTAATATAATCTCCAATTGCAGCAATCTGTTCATATGTTAAATAAAGTGTTTGACCACTGGTTCATGATCTAAAAAGAACCAAATCATTCTGATATTCTGGTGACATAAATTCAGATGGATATTTGCTTTAAAAATACATTCTTCACTGAGTTTATGACACCTATGTTTGAACTACAGTTGAGAAACTGAATCCCCTCATCCGGGTTTTTTTTTCTTTAATCAAATCACAGTAACTTAAAATACATTCGTATCCAGAAATGTATTCTAGCCATCATAATTTGTGTTATCTGATGGTTTAGGAAAATGATACTTCCAGTAAAAAAATAAATTACAATAAAGGAAAATGAGCTTTACTAGGCTGTGTCTTACTTGTAGAAACACTCAAGCAGATATGGTGTATACACTAGTTATTTCTCAATATCTCCCCCTTACTTCTTCACAGTATATGCTGGGTTAGTGAACGTACTTAAAAAATCACCTAAGCGAACCCCTGAAGTCAATGTTAACCCACTATATGTCTCTGCTGAATGTAAAAAACCACTAATCCACATGTATGAAAAGGAATTCACTTCTGAGATCTGCTGTGGTTCTTTGTGGGGTGAGTTTGGTTTCTTAAAACTGAGTTACTTTAACAGAACATATTTACACCTATGTAGCAAACTTGTGAAAAATCATAGATGTGAAACATTTGCTTGAGATTGCCAAGCCATTTCCAAGCAAATAAAATATATACATATTTAAGCAGTTTATTTGCTTATTTATTTCCTCATTTACTTTCACTCAGTATTGTGTGCTGTTTGAATTGGTGCTCTCTCCCCTTTTTATTGTTTTTAACCTGAATTAGTTTGGCTAAAAAATAAAATTGGACTAGGTTATGATTATTTGGAAATTTGAGTTCAGTGTTTTTAATTTAGAGTAATGTGCAGCATATCACACCTAATGAGATATTATAGGAAAGATTCCTGCTGTTTCTTGTTTAAATAATCTTTAGGATATATAAAGTTCCTTCTATACCATCTTAACTTTGCCAGACTTTTTCAATCCTTTGTTACTGAAGAATTATAACCACATCAGTAGTGCTCAGACAATGTTTTGCCTCAAGCTAGTCTGTACCATAAATGAAATAGAATAAATGAATGCAGGGAGGGCAGATCCCCAAAGTAAATGCCAACCACTGACTTGCAATTTCATAGGTTTTGCTTTTTATGATTGAACAGGGACAGAATTTTAAATAAAAAATACAGCAGTGTATCAAATATTATAGTTACATGGATTGAACACCTTTGGAGAAAAAAATGTCATCCTCAAAGTTTTGCTAATAGTAAAGTGTCAGATAACAAGAAAGCAAAGTTTACTTCATTATCACTTCAGTCAAGCAACTACTCAAAGATGTAGTTAATGTTTAGTAATTTATTTTTATAACTTGTGGTTTTACATTTTGAAAAATAAGATTACAGTCAAAATTGACTGTACTTTCTCTCTTCTGATTCCCCTGCGGGAGGAAATGCAGTTCCTAAACCTGCCAGAGGCCATTAGTTAGAGAACTGGTAAAGGACAGAGTGGGAAAATGAAAGCAGAGAGACACTTGTCTTTTCTCCTTGTACCCTCAGAGCACAAATATTCTATATGTAGAAGGAAGACACTGAAGGTGTTATCCCTTACATTACTTTGCTTATTTCTCCTGTGTCTCAGGTAATGGGGAAAACTCCCACAGTGGTTTGAAATGTATTCTAACTTGAGTTCAATCTTTTAGTTTAGTCGTCTCATTTGGTCTTTAAACAGTACATATAGTTCAATGAATAGAGCCAGCAGATAAATAACTGAGTGTAAAAATTTAGGGTCATGAAAGTACAAAGTAATTTCATAGGCATTTAGCAATGCAAATTTTATTACTATATGCATGACCAAAGAATCACTCAACTTAAAAACAATTTACATGTAAATGTTTAAAAAGCATTATAACCCTTATAGTTAGGAATGAAAAATCAACTGAATTGATGTCTTTGTATGCATTAGACATCCTTAATGTTTAGTGGTAACTTTGAAAAGGATGATTGATTTTTATAAAGTTTGGGACATTACTGAAGGGTGCTGAGATACATAAAGTTCTATTTGTGAGATGGTGCTCCAGACACTAGCCAGTAGAATATTGTCAGGGGGTGTTATTGTGTATATTTTAATGTATTCCAATGAAATTTTTTCTGTTGGTAGAGTGCATTGTTAAACAGAATGAGCTTAACATTAGCCTAAAATGATAAAAGTCACCATCACATAGATCATCATGCTGAAGTAGCAAAAATACTAATATAAATTCAATTATAAAAACATGATAAGAGCTAATCTAGCATTTTTGTTTTTATATATGAACAGGAGTGAATTTGCTGTTGGGAACCCGATCCAATCTGTATCTGATGGACAGAAGCGGAAAGGCAGACATTACTAAGCTTATAAAGCGAAGACCATTCCATCAGATTCAAGTTGTAGAGCCTCTCAATTTGCTGATTACCATTTCCGGTTTGTTTAAGAACTAAAATTAGCTGAGTAATTAAGCAGATTAATTAGGTTGCAAACTAGGCTAAAGACTTTCTCAGGTGAAAGTGTTCATAGGAAAGCACTTAAAATATAACCTTTATTTGGGACACCAAACTTTCCTACCTGTATTTTCTTATCTATTTACAATTTAACTCTGACTCTCCTTTGGTATATGGATATTTGATTATAATGCACCAAACCTAGGTCAGTGATAAGGAAATCCATTCTATTTACATCCTTTCATGTCTTTTCTGAGTAACGACCTACAATTTTATAGCTCACAATTTCACTTACCCATGCACACACGACAACACTAGTTTCCATCAGATACCTTTCTTGTGATGCATTAGAAGCAACAAAGAACACAGTGGACAAAACTGGATACAAATGAGACTATTTTCTCTGGCACAAACTTACCGTAAGGGCCTAGAGATAGAGTTAGTAACAAGAATGCATCCCCTAACTCTACATTCTTCCCACATAGTGGTTGAACTTCTTAGGGTTAGTCATTCAGAGCTCAAACCTTTGAGTATAAAAGAGCAAGAAGGTGGATGTTAATAATTTGTGATTACCAAAGAGTACTTAGTATCAGAAAAGCACTATCATTAGAGCTGACTACAGGCAAAAGATGACTGACAAAAGGATAAGAAAAATAAAAATGGTTTGACTGTTGAATAAAATGATGTTAATCATAGTTATTTATGTGTTTATATACTTCCTGTCTATACCTAATGGCCATACATCACATTAATTCATGATTATGTATATTCTCAAATATGGTACTTTAAGTTTTGGTTAGAGGAAAAAATCTTCTACAAATATGCTAGAACTTCATGATTTTTGAATCATGTTTATGTTTTTTTATTTTTAATTGCTCTTAACATTTCATGGTCATTTATTTATAATTCATTTACAATTACACAGAAGCAACATATAGTTTTTGAAAACATCCGGGTGGCTTAAAGACTGCACATCTGGGTAACAGATTCTTTACCTTTTTTACAGGCTCCCCTAACTCAAATGTGCCTTTTTTCATACTCAGGTTTCTCTCAAAATGTGGATTTTTTTCCACTGAATATTACTGAGAACATTAGTGTAGAATCTACCTAATATTTTAGAGCACAAATTTATTTTGCCAATTAAGAATAGAAAGGCAATAGAAATTGATGTCTGAATTCTAACTGCTTCAAAATGTCATGTAAAACTATTTAAGATTAATCACGTAAATAAAAATCCTTTTGTTGGGCCTAGAAATCTTGTAATAAACTTTAAAAATGAATACAAAGTCTCTATTTTGAAAAGAAATGTGATTATTTTTATTGAAGTGTAGTTGATATACAAGTTTATATCAGTTTCAAGTATACACCATAGTGATTTGATAGCTATATACATTATTAACCCTCACCTCAACTACTGTAGTTACTATCTGTCAACATACAAAGATGTTGCAGAACTATTGACTATATTCTCTATGCTGTACTTTAATCACTGTGACTAATTCATATTATGGTTAAGATTTGTGCCTTGTTATCCTTTTCACCTCTTTCACCCACCCACTCCAACCTCTCCCCCTTGGTAACCACTGGTCACTTCTCAGTGTCTGAGTCTATTGCTGTTTTGTTCTTTTTGTTTTTAGATTCTGCATATAAATGAAATTATGTGGTATTTGTCTTTCTCCACCTGATCATTTCACTAAACATAATGACCTCTAAGTCTATCCATGTTGTTATAAATGGCAGGATTTTTTCTTTTTTTATGACTGAATAATATTCCATTGTACATATGTACCACCTCTTCTTTATCCATTCATCCATTGGCAGATACTTTGGTTGCTTCCATATCTTGGCTACTGGAAATAATGCAGCAATAAATATGGGGGTGCATATATCTTTTTGAATCAGAGATTTTGTTTTCTTCAGGTAAATTTCTACAAGTGAAATGTGTAATTTTAATGGCCTGTTTTTCCTAAAGGAATTGTAAAAATTTGATGGTATTTATAATTAGAAAATTAATATTAAATATAAATTGGGTTGAGAGATAAATAATAAAACTGTTCAGTTATTTTGAAAATATATTGGAATGAAAGAGCAAAAAGAGACCCACCCTACTGGCCTTGAATGCCTAAGAGACAATGTATCAGACATCTGTCTCATATATACACATTATCAGGAAGGGTCATGACTTAGATAAAAGCCAAAGGACAAATGAATGGATAGTAATTCTGTTGCCTGCACAATAGCAGTCTTAACCTTTCCCCAAGAAGTATTCCACATTCACTTCAGACAGGCTCGTCGGTAGCTGGTAGACAGTTTGACTATCCCTTGATAGTGAGAGAATAAGAGAGACTCTGCTATCATATTTCCAAATTCTGGAGAGAAGACCCGGGTGTAGTATAGTTTTTTAAACGTGTTTTTTTACTTCAATGAAAACATTTGGTCAAAAAGGCAAAATACCTATACTTTTCTGTTCTTCTAATATATATGTAAAAATAGACTGAATTGAAACACTGTATCTTTATCTATCAGGCCGTAAGAACAGACTTCGGGTGTATCATTTGACCTGGCTGAGGAACAAGATTTTGAAAGATGATCCAGAAAGTAAAAGAAGACAAGAGGAAATGCTAAAGACAGAAGAAGCCTGCAAAGCTATTGATAAGTTGACAGGCTGTGAACACTTCAGTGTCCGTAAGTCACATTTCATATTTACTATACGTATTTGGTATACTATTTTGCTTCCTTCATTTGATGAAGTGCATTGTTGTGAAAAAGGAGAGAACTTGCAACTTCATATTATGAAAGTGAGTGAATTTCAATCAGACAACTTCTAGGTCTTTTATGCCACAAATGGTTGTTATTGAGAAAATATTTATTGACTGAATTAGCTATTGAAGTTAAGTTTGGTTTACTTTTTCACCTTTCTTCCCTTCTCAGTCACTCTTTAGTCCAGATGAATCAATATTTTTTCCTTCCTCTGTATATATTTGACTATACAAATGTTCTTGATGTATCTTCAATAATCTGGAGATACATATGATATTGTTCCTTGCAGAAGCAATAAAATAGAACCACATGATAATTTTTAAAAAATTAAAAAATCTTTCTTAATACTAACAATGAAACTACAATGAGTCAAAAAGAAATTCTTATGGCCTGCTGGTTCTCACTCCCATAGTCAATGTTCATGAGTATAATTGCTAAATAGTTTCTGTCTAATTGGAGTGTTTTCATACCTCCTGTCTCTTCAGAACCATCCACTGTGAAATGGAGTAACAACTCCAGGGTGTCAGAATCCTACTCTCATCTATCAACAACTAGGAAGTAATGCTATCTCATTCTATTCTACTTCTGACATAAATCCCCTCTACTCTCAGAGTTCATTTTCATCTTTCTTCTTCAATAATTGTCCCTTCAGGCAGAAGTAGTGGCATATGTAAGAAAGAGTTGGAATCACATATGTTTCAGTAGGATATTTCTATCCTGACTGACCATTTGTGTTCTACATATAAAGAGGCTTTCCCAGGATAGGTTTTCATATGTGTGTATGTATGTGCACATACACCATTAAAAGGAGAAGTAAGTACCCAGACAAATTAGGAATTAAATAAATACACTACTTTCTTCTAGTTTTATATATCAGTACTTTCCTACAAATCATATATAGTATTTTGGTAGCCAAAGGTGAATGATAGCCCCAGATATTAACCTAGGAGTTTATATAGTAGAACTGCCCCCTACTAGTAAATTTTTTAGTTCAACAAGGGAGAGTTCACAGAGATAGTTATCTTACAAATCTGTACTCTTGGTAAGTGAATAGACTAGTTAAGTCCAATTTTTTTGGATGACCCCAGTCCAACCCACATCAGCTCCCACAATCAAAAACATTTGTCCTACTGACAAGTGAAACAGTAGCATCTTCACACAGGAGGACAGCAGTATACTTACACTTGCATGGTATTTTCATAGCCTTTCAAGATCCATAAAATAATGGACACCAATTAATGCTATATAAAAAAATCATAGGAAGTGTCAACTTATCAGAGATTGTTTTGCTTATTGGGGGTATATTTATCATGCTTCTTTGACTTACTTGGGAATAGTACAAAAGAAAAAAAGAAAAAGAGGGTAATCTAGACAGAGAGAGAGAGAAGTTGTATATATTGGTTTAAAATGAATTCTGGCTAAAAAGAATAGCAACAGTGTCCCTGCCAAGAAAGAGGGGCTTTAGCACAAAGTATAAATCTAGCAGATAGGATAACATATTCCATAAGAGCCACAAAGTATAGCTGAGAGCAAACATACTCATTTATACATTTTTTCTCTTTTTTTAAAAAAAACTCTTGAAACAATTAACATACCATACAATGCCCCATTTAAAGTGCACGATTTAATACTTTTTAGTATGTTTATAGAGCTGCATAACCATCACCATGATCTAATTTTCATCATCCCAAAAAGAAACCCTATAACTATTAGTAATCACTCCATATTCCACCACACTTACATTCACCTTATTTCCCTCACAGTCCTAGATAACCACTGATCTATTTTATTTTGCTATAGGTTTTTCTGTTCTGAACAAATTATTTAAATGGAATCCTACATTATATGGTCTTTTGTGACAGGCTTTTATCACTTAGTATAATGTTTTCAAGTACATCCATGCATAGCCTGTACAACATGACTTTTTTTAAATTGCTGAATAGTATCGCAGTTGTGTAGATGTATCAGTTTTTTGTTTATCCAATATTTTATACATACATTGCTTATTTATTTTTACTCTTTCCACTGTTTGGTTATTAGGAATAATGCTGCAGTGAACATTCTCATAAATGTCTTTGTACGTGGCGATGCATGTTTTCTTTCCTTTTCGATAGTACTACCAGACTGCTTTTCAAAGTGGCTGCACCATTTTATATTGCCATAAGTATGAAGGCTCCATTTTCTCTTCATCCAGTCCAACACTTGTAGATATCTGTCTTTTGATTCTAGCTATCCAAGTGGGTGTAAAGTGTCACCTCACTGTCATATTGATTTACATTTTTCTGATGACTAGTGTTATTGAACACCTTTTCAAGTGTTTACTGGCCATCCTTGGATTATTTATCTTTTTGTTGTTGAGTTGTAAGCATTCTTAACATATTTTGGATACTAAACCCTAATCAGATAAATGAGTTGAAAATATTTTCTTCCATTCCATAGACTGTCTTTTCACTTTCTTGATAGTGTCCTTTGAGGCACAGTAGTTTTAATTTTGGTGAAGCCCAATTTAGCTGTATTTTTTCCTTTGTTGGCTATGCTTTTGGTGTCACATATAAAAATCCATTACCATGAATTCCTATATCTACTTCTAAGAGTTTTATAGTTTCAGCTCTTACACTTAAGTCTTTGATCCATTTTGAGTAAATTTTTATGTATAGTGTGAGGTAAAGGGTCTAACTGCATTCTTTTGTATGTGGATATTCAGTTGTCTCAGTACCATTTGTTGAAGACACTACTCTTTCCCTATTGAATGGCCTTGGCACCATTGACCATAGATGTTTGGGTTACTTTGTGGACTCCCAATTCTACCCCATTGGTCTATATGCCTACCCTTATGTCAGTACTATACTGTTTTGATTACTATAGATTGTTCTGTTTTGAAACTGGGAAGTGTGAGTTTTGCAACTTTGTTTTTCTTTTTCAAGATCATTATGGGTATTTGGGGGCCTCTTCCAGCTCCATGTGGCTTTTCAGAACAGTTTCCATTCCTGCACAAGCAGCCATTGGGATTTTAATAAAGATTGCACTGAATCTCTAGATCACTTTTAATGGTATTGCCCTCTTAACAATATTAAGTCTACCCAGCCATAAACAAAGGCAATCTGTCCATTTAAGTAAATTTAGGTCTTCTTTAATTTCTTTCAGCAATGTTCTATAGTTTTCAGTCTACAGTTTAGAGTGCTCTTGAATGCTAATGCATACACTCCATAAAACTAGGTAGTAATTTTGTTACCTTTTTGGGGGCATCAAATTGTAACCAAATAGCTTTTCTAAAAATATGTTGTCTGTGTTCTTACATTTAGTTATGACATTTTCAATGACAAACACAAATACTTGCGTGTTCTTGTTAATTCTGTAGCATTGTTACTTCTTTATATTTTTATCATTGTAGTCCAACATGAAGAAACAACATATATTGCAATTGCTTTGAAATCGTCAATTCACCTTTATGCATGGGCACTGAAGTCCTTCGATGAGAGCACTGCTATTAAAGTGAGTGGTCTCTTTTTCTTGTGGATTATATGATTTTTCTTTTGAAAAATTACAAACAATAATATTTGGAACATAGTAGCAGAAATATATACCATTCTTCTACAGTTAATGTAATTTGAATATACCATGTCAATAATTATCATTTAACCCTTTTTTAGACAATTCACAGGCACCACAGCAAGGGAGAGTGTGAGGGAAATCCCTGACCCTTCCCCCTAGAGGACCTCCCTACCAGCTCCTCACTCCCAATTCCTGTAGTCAACATGAAGACCTTCTCTTCTAAAGCCCCAAACACAGGTTTTGGGTGCCACCCCAATGACTTGAAGCTGAGAAAGTCCCTGTTCTCTCTTAGTGGGGGGTGGAGAGCAGAGGGAAGGTAAGGGAAGATGTGCCAGTGGTAGAGGGGGGAACCCCAGTGGAAGAGAATGAGGGAATGGAAAAAGCCTTTGCTCTAATTACCAGGGCTACAGTAGATGGGGGTGGGGAGGAAAGGGCAGGTCTATATTCTTTCCAAGCTGGAACTCTAAACACATTTTTCTGGAGACCCATTGCAAGGAACGGTGGTTAGGTTTATTTGGATTACCAGTACTATTTCCATCTTTATTATGTTTTAACTGAACTTCCATACATCAACCTCTTAAGGTAATAATTTAAGTCCCAAGCAATTAAGCTGATGCTGATTTTTTAAATCACACCTCATTAACTGGGGACTCTTTATATTTTTACTTTCTTTTTATAATCCTCCAGAATACCATGTAAATAGGATTATTTTGTACTTGTTCCATTTTAATAGGGCTAATTAGGGAACTGGCAGCATTATGTAAAGTCCAGTAGCTTCTAATCTGGGATGTACATCAGAGTCATCTGGAGCATTTGTTAAAAGTTTATGTCTCAGACCCAACACCAGGCCAAATTAGTACGTCTGGAGAGGGGCCTGGGAATCTATATTTTTAGTCAATGTTCCAGATGACTTTGCATTCGTTGGTCCATGGACAAGTTTTTTACAAAGCACTGATTAGGGACATATCATGACAGACTCCAGCAAGGCATTCTTGAAATGCTTTTGTATTTTTGGTATCTGCTTGCATGGTATATTTTGTAGGACAAAACATCACATGTGTATAATAAGGATGGGCTAATTTTTACAATTGCCCCTCAATGTCTATTTGCATAGTGAATATGTCCTTTTATACACAGCATAGACTACTGTATAGACGGACTGGGTCTGCCCTAACACAAATCACATCTCTGATCTGATCTCCCTAAACTGGGCCTTGGGTCAGCTGTCAGCTGTATTTGGATATGGGTTTGTTCTTGGGTGTCTGCTGATTCATCACAGCTGCCTGGTATGGAACTGGAAAGCAAAGAAGATAAGAAGCAACACTCTCTCTAGCCTGATGCACAGTTCCTGGCCCAAGCCCTCACTCCAGTTCTTGAATCTTACCCCATGACTACAGTATGGTGAATCCCGTGATGCCCAGTCCTCTACTGTGACCTGAACTTGGCAATGAATCCTGTTTGGCTTTTTGTTTCCTTGGACTAGGAACCATAGGAGCCTAGAGTACATCCAATCTATGGTAGGTTAACGTGTCTGGCCTTTTTCATTCCCTACCAAGTATGCACTGATCAATCAGCAGACTCTGAAGGAGACTACATGTCCTATGAAGCCTATATACGAATACTGGCAAAAATACAGGCAGCTGATCCAGCGAACCGGTTTAAGAGACCAGATGAGCTCCTTCATTTGCTGAAGCTCAAGGCAAGGAATTTCAAGGCAGCAAACAGAGTGCAGAGCCATACAAGGCTCTTATGATCATTGGAGATTTGACCTTCAAAGGGAAGCTCAATATTTAGAACTTGGATGTAATCATGTTCTTGTAATGGTAACAGACCTAACAAAGTTATAATAGATAGGTCTCTAAGTACATTATGTAATTTTAAAACATCAGTCTGGGTTTTATAAACCTGTTAAGCAAAAGGGCAAGGACATTTTTGCCTTAGAGTATCATTTTTGGCCTTTTGGTCACATTTGATTTATATCTACAGGTATTTCCAACACTTGGTCATAAGCCAGTGACAGTTGACCTGGCTATTGGTTCTGAAAAAAGACTAAAGATTTTCTTCAGCTCAGCAGATGGATATCACATCATTGATGCAGAAACTGAGGTTATGTCTGATGTGACCCTGCCAAATAATGTAAGATGCTTAGAAATTACTGTATACCAGAATTTGAGTTTTTCCAAATGTCAAAACTCTTCAAGACATAAAAATATGATTATCAATATCTATACTGAAACTGAGACCTAAGGTAAGTGTAGAGTGCCAGAAGGTAGTAATGGATAAACAAACATCACTGATGGTTTCTCAGTCTAGATAGCTTTTTTGCAGGTAGTCTTTTCTGCAGATAGTTTGTCTGGAACAGTGTTTTCTGTTTGTTTTTAAATAAATAGGGTTTATACTTTAAAACCTGGACTTCCGTTGATAAACCAAAATACCTGACAACAGCCGGCCCACATTACTGTCTCAACTGGAACCATTCATGCGTACCCCCTTGTAGATGGAATACATGTGATACATTCTTCTAGCCATCCACCACCATGTATTCCTGGTAACTGGTCCTAGTAGGTGTATGAGTTTGCAATCCTCGCTTTACTCCTTCTGCGCCCCCTAATGAGTTAACAGATTCTTTAAAAATACAGACCTTTATTGCAGCATTACCAAATGTACCACCTTCTTTATCCAGACTATAGCCAATTATTATTAAGTATTTTCTTACAGTATTGATTATATTAAGAATTTCTGATGAAAGGATTCAGCTTTTTAAAAACTAGTGTTTCTACACTTCAACTCAACTCTTAAATAATTATAAATAATGGAAGTATGGCACACATCTAAAATATGGATAGTTGTAAAAATACTGTACACATCATTTATATAAAGAACTTGAACATAATAGAATACCCTTCCCACAATACACCATAGAAAATATAATTCTACTGTGTCTCAAATTTGACGGTGGCAATGATGTTTGTCCTATTGAAAATTTTACTTAAAAGGAGCAGTTGGACCAATAAATGTGTGCTTCACTCCTTTTTCTTTCCCCAGTTTGTTGACAACTAAAATTTTAGTAATTTGACATTATATGGAAGTCCAGGAGTATACTTTGATGTAAATCACTGTAGTAATGCGATATCTTGCATAGCTTTCAGAATTGTCTTACATCTCTAACAAATTACATAGAGCAATTGTCAAATCGTTAGTGGGGACATTAAAAAAAGCATTTTGGCCATATTAACAATCTAATTAGTTAATCACCCAGTTGTCACCTGTGATTATATAGAAATCACATGGCTTATAGTGTAGAAAATACTTAACCAAGCTCTGCCAAAGCCACTTAGTTATGAGCTCAGGTTAATTTTGATAAAAATATTATTGTACTCTTCAGTTAGAGTGTCTTCCATAGCCTCCTGAAGTTTATTTTTCATGTCATGTTAGATAGCATTTATTTTGAAGCTACTGCAGTATTGAACACTGAGGTACTGGTCTAAGGTTACACTTATGTGAAAAGTTAGTCAAGAAGATTAAAGCCTGTTTTCCACTTGACTCCTAAGCAAGGAGAATTATTTCCTTTTGAAGGAGTCAATTAATTAGAGTGGAAGCAAGAATGAGAGATGAGTTTTTAAAAAAACATTTTCTGACCTAATTAAGATAACACAAGTATATTCATAAAGAGTATTTTTAGTTAAGTGCCCTAGTGTCTTGACCCATTAAAAGAGAAAGGACTCTAATGTAAGGGAGGGGAACATGTCTTCCAAAACAAAATGTACTAAAAATAGTATTTTTCTAAGAATGCTAGGTTACAAAAACTGATGCAAAAGGGAGCTGTGTGTGCTAAAGAATATCTGGTTACTTCAGGAATCATTGGAGAAGCAAGAAAATTACCTCTGAGGCTTTTTGGGTTTATAGCCTTCTAGCTTTTTTCTAAACAACATAATTTTTGAGACAAGCTTATTTCCTGTAATTTATTTTTCTCTCTTCCTTCATCTCTTCTGATTCAATTGCTCATGCGAGTACCCAGGGAACGCATTAAAATTGCTTTTTGCCTCTGGATCCCCATTTTAGTTATAAGGATTGTTGTTGCTGAGACATGGCCTCAAACACTGGGCCTGAGTACACTGGGTTTGGCAAGTATAGTTTCTGACTTTTTTTCCTGTAACTTGCTAATGTGGAAAAATGATAGAGAAATGTCATTGTTCATTTCTCAGGGAAATTCGATTACTGTGACAGTATCTGTAGTTTAAGGAAATTTGTCATTTTGTGTTATACATCATGACATTTAAAAATTCTTAGCTATTTCTTAGTGTTTCATAGTATGTCATGTACTACATCTCTGAATTTGTGCATTGAAGGTATTTTGAGATGATACGAATTGAATAAGAAAACCTGCAATTTTTTGTGAAGGGAGGATGACTTATAGTTCAAGGAGCAAAGAGTATTATAAAGCTTTCCCTTGCAAACATTTTGAGCTCAAGCTATGTTTCAGTTCATATTCTATTTCTGATTTGAATGAATTGGCTGATAACCAGTGATTGTGTACTTGTTACTTGGTTCACACATTTGTCACTTTATTCACTGACATCCTGAAATGGATCTTAAATCTAACTCTGAAACAAGTCACGTTTCTTCAGTCATTATATATAATACTCTGCTACTTCTCAATGAATTTCTGTGTTGGCAATATATCTCTGCTTTTTTAAAGTTTTCTCCTAAATTTAAAGGAGAATATTGAATAGTGATGTCTTTATGACAAAGGGAAGGCTCTTTTTAAGTGTTAGCATGCTCTTCAGTATTGAAATTGAAGTTTCTCTTCCTACCTGCACTTTCAACCCCTTTTTGGTCTTTATTATTCAGCCAAGCTGCTTCAATTAAAGTAGTAGTGATAAAATGTTGGGCATATAAATCTTTATGAAATGTAATTCCAGCCCCTGAAAATCATTATACCACAGAATATCATCATTTTTCCTGATTCCTTGGGAATTGGCGTGATGCTCACTTTCAATGCTGAAGCCCTTTCTGTGGAAGCAAATGAACAACTCTTCAAGAAGATCCTTGCAGTGTGGAAAGACATACCATCTTCAATAGGTATGTACAAAATTCTTCCTTCAGATGACCCCAGAGAAGCTTCTGTTTCCTGAAGTATCATATTTTCTCAAAGGCATATAGGGTTAATTTGGCATACTGCATACTTCTTACTTCCTTCGTAAGGTGATGTGTTTGTCTTATGCTTAATAAATTTGCAAGTCTGCCACAAAAGACTGATTTTGGCTGCCTCCGTTTCCATTTGCAATGATCATATAACTAAAATAGGAAAAGAACCCCTTTCCACAATAATGTATAATTTTATTTTAACTCCCTGTGATTGCAAGTTTTATAGATGTTGAAAATGCTTCATTCCATCACATTGATTTTAGGGATTTACTTTTATCTTGGGAGACTGCCAAATAATCATAAAAGGAACAAAATGTTTCTTTTTCATACAGTAAATTGTATTCTGTTTAGTAAGTGATATTTCTATGAAGAATCAAATGCAAACTGAATATGTGACATACTGGTTTTCACTAAGCTTTCATTTACAAAAGAGATAAATATGATAGACTGGAATGCCTATTAGGTACCACCTAGATGACAACATAAAGAACAGTGCCTTTTCAACTTAATCAAACCAGGACACTTTTTTCTTCCTGAGCAATGCAGGACTGCTAATCTGGGAAAATTAATAATTTGAGACTCTTGTGTATGTCTCTGAGGCTTCGTGACTACAGAGGTGATTCTAGATAGAGAAAAGAATGTATGAACAATAAAAATATTAGAGAGAGTAGAATGATTTTATGGAGGGTAAATGTTCCTGAAAGGAGGAGGAGTTTAATGAAGCAAATAAAGGAGAAAAGAAAGGGAGAGAGAAAAAGAGAGGGAAAGGGGAGACAAAGAAAGGAAAAGGTAGTTTGTTAATAAAGAAGCCAGAAGCTTCTGAAACATGTATAGGATGGCTAAATGCGATCCTCATGTGGCTTTAAGGATCATTTGAAAGAACTGCTTATTAACGGACATGGTTTTCATTATGGGTTGATGGCACTTCGCATTGCATCTGCAATATCCTTTCTTGTGCGTACATAATGTTAAGGATTTTCCTGAAAACCTCCTCCAATTTCCTCATATAAGTAAGAACTGACAGAGGATTTTAAACCACTTTAAGCGACAGAAGGTAAATGCTTACAATATAATTGACAGATCTGGGGCAAAAGAAACTGAAAAATAATGAATCTTGTTCTAACTGGTACAGTACTTTTGTGATCAGTATGTTAATCAGAAACTAGAGTAAGGAAATTCATCTCAAATGGTAAAGTAAACAAACTCCTATATTTATGCCACTAGATAATCATAGGAATCAAAGCGTTCTTAAAAAGTCATCTGGTACAGCTCTTGTCCTTAGGAGGACAACTGCTGACCTAAAACATAAAGCTATTTTAAGTTGCTAGAATTTGAAAACCATCTCTCTCTATACATAATAATTATAGCACTATAAGAACATGATATTTTGGTTTGTGTATTAATGGTATTTTGAGATTATACTAAAAACTACAGTATAACACTGACAATAAGGAAATTAGTGACTCTCTTTTTCTGTCTAAAAACAACTGCCTTATTATTTAAAACTAAGCCAGACATAGATTATACAGAATTGGATTTTACAGTCTAAATTTTATAGTCCCTTGAGATATAATAAATGGTTTCAATGATAAGATTTTTGCTGTGGATTTTCAAACAAATACATAGAGGCTTAACAATTACAGAAAGTTACCATGAAGCAGTCCAACTCCAAATCTTTGGATTCCATCTCATAAGCAAGCTAGCTCAGTAGCTAGATTAATTGACAGGTTAATTAAGGTGGAAATTATGTAATGCCAAATGAACTGTGTACTTGGAATTAGCAGGTAGCCTGTGCACCGAGTTTAGAAAGTTTTGCTCTGTGTAGTTGCTGACAAAAATACCATTTTAAATAGAGTATTCATGTGTGTGAAAAAATTCAGAATTGAATAGACTAAATCTATTACTTATTCCCATCACTCAGGCCATGAATTCCTTTCACTTCTTTTATATCTGGAGTGATTTTAATTTTAGTCTGAAATTGGACTTATAAAGTTTTCTTCTAGGACAGCCATTTTTCTGAATTACAATATGATTGTAATTTAATTACAATTTTGATATCAATTTCATACACATTTTGAATTGTAATGTAAAAGGAAGCAAATGATAATGTATGCTTGGCAAGTTCTGCTTAAGGGATTTAAAATGGCTCACACTATGCCTATGAAAAGCTACTTTTATAAAAATTTAATAATTCCTTCATGGGTCTTTTTATGTATATTTAATATATACATATGTAAGCCAGGTAAATTTTTGTTTAAACAAAGGCATCCTAGAACTTTTGATAAAGATAAAGACTGTTTAAAAAAACTATATTGGAGGCGGAGCCAAGATGGCGGTGTGAGCAGAGCAGTGGAAATCTCCTCCCCAAAACACATAGAGCTATGAAAATATAACAAAGAAAAATCTTCCTAAAATAGAGCCCACAGGACACAGGACAACATCCAGACCACATCCACACCTGCAAGAACCTAGCGCCTTGCGAAGGGGGTAAGATACAAGCTCCGGCCCGGCGGGACCCGAGCGCCCCTCCCCCCGGCTCCCAGGGGGTGGAAAGAAACCGGAGCGGAT